CTCCCTCAGCCTGGTGGAACCCATGAATTGCCTGGGTGTGGGTTTGTGAGTGTCTGCAGCCTATCTGATGGGAAGCCTGCTGCAATCAGGCTCAGCCTGTTGCCCCGAAGGGGAGTTCCTGCTGGATCACTTTCTCTAGGCAGATGGAGAAGCTGAGCAACAAGGTGACATCAGCCTAATCAATTCTCCCTGTTTCCACTAGCACTCCACAGTGACCTTGGAGGTGAGACATCCTTGGGGGGAACTTTGTTGAGTAATAGAAATGAAGGATGCTGGGAAGGGAGGGTACCCAGGCTGGGCCACACAGGGTGGGAGCCCCCAACACGCAGTGCTAGCAATGAAATATCCCATTACATTCTGGGGTCATTACCTTAGGGAGATGCAATTGGACAAGCCTGCCTTTCCATTATGCAAAGAAAGGGCTTTTCAAGTGAATTTCCTTTTAAGTATGAGCTTAGATCAGTGAAGATGGGGCCATAATAGCTTTGACGGTCATCACAGCTATTAAAAATACATTTTTCCCTTGTGCTCAGTCTGCCTTGTCATCTTCATATCATTCATCCCCAGATGGCTGTGGCTCAACCGTCACCAAGTTTCTGGGAGGCAGGTTAATCATGGTCTGTATCTTCAACGGTTTGGTCATTTAAAATTTTTTATTTATTGTTATTGGGAAGGTAGATTTACAGAAAGAAGGAGAGCCAGAGAGAAAAATTTTCTGTCTGCTGGTTCACTCCCAAGTGGCCACAATGGTTGAAGCTGAGCTGATCCAAAGCCAGGAACCAAGAGCTTTCTCCCAGGTAGGTGCTGGGTCTTAAGGTTTTAGGCCATCCTCGACTGCTTTCCCGGGCCACAAGCAGGGAGCTGGATGGGAAGTGGGGCTGCCGGGATTAGAACTGGCGCCCATATGGGATCCAGGCGCGTGCAAGGCGAGGACCTTAACCACTGCGCCACCGCGCCGGGCCCTTGATTTACTAACGCCTTTCAAATTAACAAACACAAAATGTCTATGAGTAAAGATTGATTGCCTTTGTTTATCAGTCTGTTTCCATACTTGGCACCTAATAGGGGCTAAGATTAGAAGTGGTAATGTGAAAGCACAGCTCATTCCCCAAATTCCCCAAATCCCCAAAACTTCCCCAAATATCAATCACACTGGAGTTTAGGAACCTTACTGGATGCTTCTTAGGTGTGTATTTAGTAAGGTAGCAGCCAGCCCTCGCCTTGCTTTGGTCACTGGTGTCTGGTCCCACAGAGATTTCAGCATCAACAGCCTTTTCAATCAAGCTCTTTGAAGAGTTGGGGAAAGGAGGAAATGGCTCCACCTGTTGGCCAGTGCCCCTACGCGGAAGGTGAAAGCAGCAGTTTTCCGCGAAGGGCCTTGATCTGACTGCATTGCCCAGGGCAGTGGGAGAAAAATTCACTGGGGCAGCATGTAACTGAATACATTCTGTTACTGAAGCTAGTACGGGTAACTACAAGTGTGAAGTTAAGGTCTGGAGTAATGTTTAGAGTTTGAAATGGATTCCTTTTCATTTTTCTCATTAAAAAAAAATTGTGAGACAAGATACAGTTGTGTCATCTGCAGCATATTAATATATGTACATATAATGCATAGCATGTAGGTACAATTTAAAGGATGAGATTAAGGGAATCGGACACAGGACCCAGCACAATGGCTTGATGGCCTTGCTGCTTGTGGCCCAGGAGAGCAGTAGGGGATAGCCCAAAGCCTTGGGTACTGTACCCCCTATACCTGTGTAGAAGACCTGCAAGAGGCTCCTGGTTCCTGACCTCAGATCGGCTCAGCTCCAGCTACCATGGCTACTTGGGGAGTGAACCAGAAGATGAAAGAGATTTCTCTCTGTCTCTTTCCCTCTATAAATCTGTCTTTCCAATAAAAATAAATTAATCTTAAAAAAAAAAAGAGAATCAGGAGCAGTCTATGACTTGGAATGAGAGAGAACACGGCCAGTTCTTTAGAAATCCTCATGTCACAAAGTCATGAGTCAGTCCTGCTTCCTTCTTTTCCTACTGTATCTTTGATTTTTTCTCCTTTTTTTTTTTTCCGTATGTGTTCTGTTTCTTCCATTCTGGAAAAAAAATTCCTTCTTTTTCCTTTTCCAAAATTTGTCTATTTATTATTTATTTGAAAGGTGGGGCAGTGAGAAGAGAGAGAAAGATCCAGTCCCACATGGCCACAACACGCAGGGCTGGGACTGACCAACCATGGAGCCTGGTGGTAGAGGCCCAGTACTGTGTCATCTTCTGCTGCTTTGGCACATTAGCAGGGAGCTGGATCAGAATTGCAGCAGCTCAAACTAGAATCAGCACGTCCATCTGCAATGCCTGCAGATGTGCCACAGTGTCGCCCCCTTCTCTACTTCACCCTTTTCTACATTCTGTCACTTGATAGTTATAAAATCTAGAACAAAACAGCTAACTCTTAAGGACTTTGATGTCTTTTTTCCCACATCTCCTTTTCATATCTTCTTCTCACATCTCTTTTTCCATATTTTTTTCACATCTTTTCCTGTATCTTTTTTTTTTCCACATAGCATCCTTTTTCGTAAAATGGGAATAACAGTACCTACCTTACCATTTCATTGTGGTATATAGTGACATAATGTCTGTGCAAGCGTTAGAAGGATCCTCTGTGTAGAACCCTAGCACAGAGATTGACACACAACTGACATTCAGTAAGTGGACTCTGGTTCTCAAGTTGTTCTTAGTTTAATTTTTTTTTAAATTTTGTTCATATATCTGACAAGAATGCAGGCCTATGAGGACCATCAAATAGGGTGGGGAGGGCCCGGCACAGTAGACTAGTGGCTTAAGTTCTTGCCTTATACACTCTGGAATCTCATATGGGCACCAGTTCATATCCCAGCTGCTCCATTTCCTTTCAGCTCTCTGCTTTTGGCCTGGAAAAGCAGAAGAGGATGGCCAAAAACTTTGGGACTCCCGCACCCATGTGTGAGACCCAGAAGAAGTTCCTGGCTCCTGGCTTTGGATTTGCTCAGCTCTGGCCGTCAAGCACCTACATCAGCCCACGCACATACTACTGATTGTAGTTGCCTGGTAAGTTCCATCCCTAGCCCCACATCCTATGCAAATTGACAGATGTTGTGACCCAGCCCATCCCGGTGTGTCACAGACCTGGCCCTTGAGCACACCAGGGGGAACTGCAGCCTAGTCGGGGTGACCTTGAGTTACTGTTATTAGAAAAAAATTCCTCAGATGGAACTTTTAGCTCTAACAGAGCTGAGCAGCAACTTGGGAATCAGACACTGTGTCTCTAGGATACTGCAGTGACATGGCTTGATGCAAGTCCTTAAACTTCTCCATCTAAAAATGAGGGTGATGCTACTCATTGGTGGGAGCCGACTGCACAGTCAACATAAAAACTATTTTTTTTTCTCTTCTTTTGTCTCACTTCCTCTTCCTTTCTCTTCTATTAAGTTTTCCTGCCAACAGAGACACTATGCTTGGGGCATCTTCTCTAAAGCTCTCAATTCAGCTCGCCTACATTTAGCAAATGCCCACCAGGTGGCTGCCACCATCTTCCTAGTGTGAGCCGTGAAGCTTAGCACACACCTGACCACTTGCAAGAAAATGAAGCTGTGGGTCTGAGCCCTGGGTCTGGGTGCCTGGACCCATGGTGTGTCAGGGTGTGGGGCAGCTTTGCTGTCAAGGAGCAGCGCTGTCCGCTGCGTGTAAGAGATACACAGAGAGTGGGAGAGACAGACTTTCTAGCCGTTGGTTTACTCCTCTGATGGCTCAGCTGGTATCTGGGCCAGGCCAGAGCTAGGGGATTCATCCAGGTCCTCATGTGGGTACAGGGACCATCTTCTATCGCTTTCCCAGGCCATCAGGAGGGCCTCGAACCAGCAGCCACATGGGATGCTAGTGTTGCACAGTGGCTTTACTTGCTCTGCCACAACACTGGCCCCTTGCTAAGCACTCCTGTGCAGGACTGAGAGACAGCCTCCTGACCAAAGGATAGACACAGTGGGGAACTCATTCCTGAGGGAAAGTACAATGGAACTATAGCACAGGGACCTGCAGGGAGCCAGGCGACTGCACCTCTCTTCTCCCCTGCCCCCTCCACCTCATCAAGGAGCCTGTCTGATGCTGGCTAGGGGTTTTCCAGTTGTAAAGTAAGGAGACAGACAGGACTGAGGTCTCCCAAGCTCCCACTGATCCAGGAGCTAGGCATTCTAAACACAACAATGTCTGCTTCATTCCTCCTAGCACATCAATACCTGTGACTTTTTAAAAAATTAAGCCTTTTTAAAAAATTATTTATTGTCATTTTATTTGAAAGGCAGAAGCTTGGACTGGGTTTCAGGCTTTCATGTGGCCCAACTCAGCCCCCGCCGTTGAGGTCACTTTGGAGGAGTCTGTTTCTGCCTTTTAAGTAATTAAATAGGTAAAAATAAAATAAAACAACAGAAGTTGGAAATATTCATGTCACGTAACAGCACTAAGCCATGGAGCCAGATCTGAGCCCTAACTTAGACCCTCCCTCCCCTACCCCACCCCACTGACACCAACAGCCTCGTGCAGTTTTTAGGATTGCGATTATTCTTGCGGAACCCGTCACAGCGTAAGCTAATGATACATAAAGAGCAAGGGTGCTCCTTCGGGAGCCAACTGTGCACCCTCCCTACACCACGTGGCTTGGTCGTCGCCCCGCGGAGCACAATCTTCCCTGAAGGCACACCCAGATTTCTACCAATCACATCACCCCGAAAGCGAAGGCCTCTCTCCCTCCTGCACGCCTCTCTCTGCTTCCCCTCTCTGGTTCACTTGCTCTAACTTTCCCGCCTCCGGCTCCCGTGGCCAATCAGGGCCCTGACTGCCCGTCTCCTCCAGCCTTTCCCAGAGGAACTTGTGATTGGTCCTTGCAGGAGCAAGAGCCGACCAATGAAAGGCAGGCTTTTTGGAGCATGGCGGTCCGAGAGTATCCTCTGCGGTGATTGGCTGGAATGATCCAAGCTGGAAAATGGCCGCTAGTACGTCTGTGGTGGCGGTGGCCCCGGTGGCTCCGGCCGCAGTGCCTGTTCTGTCCACAAACGCCGATTTTTCAGACTTGCGGGAAATTAAAAAACAGCTGCTGCTCATCGCAGGCCTGACGCGGGAGCGGGGCCTACTGCACAGCAGCAAGTGGTGAGCGGCGTGGGGGCTGGCGGGGCCGGGCTGGGCTACGTGGCTCGGGGCTGGCGGAGCTGACGCGCTGTGTGTGGCTTCCAGGTCCGCCGAGCTGGCCTTCTCGCTCCCGGCCTTGGCGCTGGCCGATCTGCAGCCGCCGCCGCCGCTCACCGAGGTAAGGCCCTTCCGCGCGCTGCAAGGCGAACCGACGTGAGAGCTCAGGCCCAGTTGGTGTTCGCTGCTACGTAATGCGCATTTCCATGAATTTTGTTGGGAGGGAGGTGCTTAAAGCCGAGTTCTCTGACGGAACAGAGCGCGCTGCTCTGCTTAGCTGGGTGTGTTAGAAGCGATTTTTAAAAACTCATTTTGCAACCTTTGTGTCAATGACCTTAAAGCTGGGAAGAGTTGGACGATTGGAAATGTTAGTCGTTGCTGAAAACGTCAACATTTGAGTTCTGTAGGCCAGGCTAAGAGACGATACTTCGGAAAGGCAGCAGCTTGTAACGGTTGCTATGGTGTTGTGAGACAGGCGCTGCAGGTTGGTTCATACTGAGTTCAGACCTCAGTTTCGCAGCTTCACCCTCCTCCGGAGCCAGTCTCATGTGTGACGGAGGGGTAGTAAGTATCTACCTGACGGGGAGATTGAAGGAAGTCGGGACATCGCATTGGTGATTTTGAAGTGTATTTGGCCACTCAGAACTCAGTAAGGCTAGCTGGTTTCTTCATTAACTGTAAGGAGTGGCGGTGCACTGGGAGGTGGATGTGCATCTACATTCTAGTTAGGGTCTACGGGACGGCTGTCTCGTCTGTAGATACTGTTGACTGTTAATTTGCTTCTCAGGTGAAGCAAAACCATAAGAGGGAAAAATACCTCACGTTCATTGTTTTGAGTTATTGTGATTTATCTCTGTTTGATTCTTCTCTGTTTTCCTGTGCCTGTTTTTGTAGTGTCTGGGTACCTTCTCTGTCCTGAATAGTATATATAATGAGTAAATAAAGCACAGTGAGAGGGGAAAAGCCCCAGTTAATACCCTCTCTCCCAGGAAGGAGATTCTGTAATATGTGGGGATGTAACAGACTGCAGAAACCAAACCATAATTGAATTATTGGGATAGGTTAGTTACTGGTTGGCTTAGTAGCTTTCCTCTCACTGTGGAGGGTAATGATTCTGCAAGCTCCTTGCTGATTTGTTACATTTAATGTTTTCTCTCCTCTAAGGGATATGTCTGAGAAATCCCCAGAGAAACATTTTGATCTAATTATGATTTGATCTAAAGTTGAAATTACACTAAGCTTCTTTGATCACTAAAGAGTGGTTGAAATTGAGGATTATTATGCTATGCTCATCTATATGGTAGATGCTTGTTACAGCTTACTGTTGCAATATTATGTAAGCATGGCCAAAGAAGTGTTTCATGTGTTTAAACTTGTTACACTCTGGCTTTTACTCTAAACTTAAGTTAGGGTTTCTGAATGTAAGCTTTGACTGGGACCACCTGTGGTGACTTTGATACATATCTGTATATTCATAATTCTCCATATATATTCTCTCTATATATATTTAACATTTATTTACTTTTATATGAAATATGGATTTGTTTAGAGCAGAGACAGAGAAAGAGCTTCTACTTGTTGAATCACTTCCCACATGGCTACAATGGCCAGAGCTGAGCTGATATGAAGCCAGGCGCTAGGCGCCTCTTCGATGTCTCCTGTGTGGTTACAGGGTCTCAAGAACCTGGGCCATTCTCCATTGTTTTCCCAGGCCACAAGCGGGGAGCTGGGAAGTGGAGGAGCCAGGACACAAACTGGGGTGCATATGGGATGCCAGTGCTTGCAGGTGGAAGACTAGCCTATTAAACCCCTAAACTGGTGTTTTTTTTTTAAACCACAATGCTAAATGCTTCTTAAAGATGTATGTAATTTTCAGTGGTGCATTTTAGGCATTTCCTGTGTGCAGTGGTGGTAAGGGCCTTATAACTCAATCAGTAAAACTTCTCTAACTTATAAAGGTATATGGAGGGCCCAGCATGGTATCTTCCATCTGCTGGTTCACTCCCAAAGTGGCCACACTGGCCAGAGCTGAGCCAATCCAAAGCCAGGAGCTTCTGGGTCTTCCACATGGGGCAGGGTCCCAAAGGCTTTGGGCAGTCCTCCACTGCTTTCCCAGGCCATAAAGCAGGGAGCTGGATGGTAAGTGGAGCAGCAGGATATGAACTGATGTCCATATGGGATCCCGATAGATGCAAGGCAAGGACTTTAGCCACTAGGCTACTGCGCCGGGCCCGTATATATGCATTTTTATATGTGTTAGATTTTGGGGAGGAGCAAAGTATTTTTTACTATTTCCAAAATAATGGCTATGCTATTTAGGTTTGAACTTTTGTCGCCCTGGTCTTTCTGTTTACCTATACTTGTCTCTTTCTAGGAGGATGCCCAGGACATGGATGCCTACACCTTGGCCAAGGCCTACTTTGATGTTAAAGAGTATGATCGGGCAGCACATTTCCTGCATGGCTGCAATAGCAAGAAAGCCTACTTCTTGTACATGTACTCCAGATACCTGGTGAGGACTGTTTTAGGGTGTCATCCTGCCTTCAGTGACGTGTCCATTTCCAGTGGAAAAAGTCTTTTAAATAGCTTAACGTTGGACCAGAGTGATCACAATTGAAGTTTTACAAAACACAGTGTGGTAGATGGTATCGTTAGGAATAACAGGTTGATCAGTAGCAAACCTGGTTCTTTGTTTTAGATTACATATGTTTTTAATACATTGGCGTTGATATTATAATTTAAAGATTAAGTGAGAAAAATAGAAGTTAAAAACTTTAAGTTTTTTACATTTGTAAATTCGGTTGTTGTATTGATAATTGTTGTTTTTATTTCCTGACTGTTAAAGTTATGCATGTGAGGAAACATGCAAGTAAAACAATTTAATACCGTATTTAGTAATAATTCAAGTATTATTTATTATTACACTTTTCTTCTTGTTCTTTGTTCTATGTGCATGGAACTTTTTCTTTGTTTTTTAGATTTACTTATTTTTACTTGAAAGAATCACACAGAGAGGGAGGGACTGAGAGGGAAATCTTTTATTTACTTGTTCACCACCCCCACATGGAGCTACGTCTAGAGCTGAGCTGGTTTGAAGCCGGGATTCAGGAGCTTCCTCTAGGTCTCCTGCTGGGGAGCGGGGTTCCAAACATTTGAGCCATCTTTTGCTGCTTTCCCAGGCCATCAGCAGGGAGCTGGATTGGAAGTGGAGCAACTGGGACTTGAACTGGTACTCGTATTTGGTTCTGGTTTCAGAGAATTAGCCTGATGTGCTACTGTGCCAGGCCCTTATTTTACATATGTTTTCATTTTAATTTTCAAAATTTGATTTATCTATTTAGAAGCTCTAGTTAGATATCACAGAGAGAGCGAGAGAGATCGTCCTCCTGCTGGTTCGCTCTGCAGTGGCTGCAATGGCCAGAGCTGTGCCAGGCTGAAGTCAGGAGCCGGAAGCTTCTTGCAGGTTTCCCACATGGTACAGCAGTGATTTGTGCCCATATGGGATGCTGACATCACAGGCGGAGCCTTAAATTACTGTACCACAACACTGGTTGCAACAGACTTTATTTTTCCACAGTTTTAGGTTTACAATATCATTAAGCAGAGTATGTAAATTCCTATACATTCTCTTCTTCCCGTCTAACTTCTCCCTCTGTCAATCTCCTGCTGTAATGTAGTGTATTTATTGTAACCAGTGAACCAATGTTGCCACATCATTTTGTTGATAATACATGGTCCACTCTGTGTTATGCTTTTTTTACTTTGGATATGTCTGATGTTTCTTAATAATTTTATTCTGGTTATTTATCATCCAGTCAGTGTAGTATGTAAGTGGAATGTCACAAGCACATTGCATCTGGTGGTATATCTGTGTGCCTTTTCCTGCTAATGTTAATTTTGATCACATTGATATTTTCATTTTTTTCCCCTATGGATTTATCGTTTCTCTAGCAAATATTGAACAATCTGTGGGAATACACTTTAAGATTTTGTAAATGTCATGCTCCTCATGAAAATTACCCTATAAATTTAATATCCATAAGTATTGCCTGAAGAACTCTTTACTTTTACTCTTTAATTTTCAGGGCAGCCTCAGAGGCTCCGCTAAGGGGGTCCTTTTCCCCCTGCCCAGATGGCAGTGGCAGGGGTGGCTCTGGGCTGGATGGCCCAGGTGCAAAGTGCACCTGATGCAATCCTTAGGCTGCCCTGTGGTGCGCTCCAGGAACTTGGGCTTCAGGATTTACAGGGAGATTGGATGATGGGACAGGTGAGGGAGAGCTTCCGCTGGCAAGCACATTGTTCATGCATGGGTGTTGGGCAGGTTGGGCAAGGTAGCTCTATCCATTGGCAAGTGTGTGAGCTGGTTTTGGAAGGGGGCGGACTGGGCAGGGCCAAGCAGACCTTAGCCCACTAGCAATTGCAGAAACCATGTTGGAGTGCAGATCATACTGGGCTAGACTACCACACCTGCCAGTTGCAAGAGCCAGGGATAGGAGCAGACTGAGCAGGTCCAGGATGTAGCACCTGCCAGCGAGTTAGAATTGGAGGCTGGCCAGGTCAGGCCAGGCTGTAGCATCCAAAGGCAAAAGCCAAGACAGGTGGAGGCTGCCTGGGCTGGGCTGGGCTGGGCTGGGCTAAGTCAGGCTACACACACACTGGCAAATCTCAGGGTGAGGTGGGCCATGCCGGAATGGGCTGCAGTGCTTAACCAGCACATGTGAGACCCAGGAGGTAGAGAACGAACACAGTAGGAGTGCGTGCGTGCATGGGGCTCTACTGCTGGACCATTACTTCCACTGATGAGTGTGAGAGCTGGGATTGGGGACAGACCAAGCTGGTCAGGGCTACAACATCTATTGGCTTCATGTGAGCAGGATTAGGGAAAAGCCAGGCTGGGTTAACTGTTCCTACTGGTAGATGCATAAGCCAGAGTGGATGTGGATGGGTTAGGCTTTGCTGCAGCACTAGCTGTCAGATGCTAGCATGGTGGACAAATTCTATCAAGTTAAACTGCAGATCCATTTCGAGAGTGCAAGATCCAGGAGTGGGAGTGGGCCCAGTAGGGAAACAGTGGGTACCTCCCTTTTGGGTTGCCACTCACTGGTGAGCGTGAGAACCAGGACTGGGGCAGGCATGGCTAGATAGAGTGGCACCTGTTGATGTGTGTGGGCTGGATAGTGGGGCTGGTTAGGTTGAACTAGGTTTTACTGCCTATTGAAATGTATGAGAACTGAATGGGATACGGGACAGACTGGACCAGTCTGTTGTACATATTAGCAAGCGTGGGAGCCAGGGTTGTGGTGGACCTGGTAGGGGTTATTGCAGGTCGCCCCAACTAGGCTGCAACTCCCACTGGTGTGGCTAGGTGTGTGATAAGCAGGATCGGGATGGGCTCCAACACCCATTGGTTTGCATAAAACACTGGGCTGGAGACAGAACTGAACCAGCAATTGCAATCATCAGTATGTGTGTAAGCTGATTGGGGCCAGACTGTATTGGGCCCTATATTGATAAGCACACACAAGAATCAGGTCTGGGATCACCTCAGATGAATTTTCTTTGGGGATCTCCCAGCTGAAACGCTGAACTCAGAACTTCAACCATGGAGAAAATTGCAGGGTCTGTGATCCAGCTGTGGAGTGCTTATGTCAGAGCTGGGCCTCCTCAGTGACTTCGACAAAACAGTGGAGTGTATATCCAGTTGCACATGGAGGATATGATAATATATTAGAACCCGCAGAGGACATGTGGTACCATAACAGAGAAGGAGGACAAAACAAATTGATTTGTGTTGGCCAAGTGTGGGCAGTGAAAACTAGGCAAACAGAGACTCTTAGGTGGGCTATGTCAGCCAGTACATTCTGGAGAGATACTGTGCTTAGAGTGGCAAGATCAGCAGCAATTCAGAACTGTTGAACTATCAAAACCACTTGAGCAGGCGGACCCTGGGATGGTTGGGAGGCAGGGTGGAGCTTCTCCCTTTATCTTCCCTTATCCCCCAGATACAGGAAGGAAAACACTTTCCTTAGCCCTTGACCCTTGTGTTCTAATCAACTATGTAAAGATCATCAAAAATAAAAATTTTTAAAAAGTGGAAATTTTCTACTGAAACATGAATAGTAACCTATTTGCTACTAATGAACACTTGACACTCTTCCCTAAGTAAGAGCCTTCCTTTTCTTTCTGCTTTGATTTATCTACTTCCACCAGTATGAACTCATGGACTCTTCAATTGCTTATAATTCATTATTGTATTGAATTGTTTTGGTATTTCACATTATCCCTGTTTGTCTAGTGAAAACCCTTAGAATACTTATTTTACACTGATCAAAAGTAAATGCCATTTTAGTTGGACTTCAGTTCTTTAGGTAGAATCAGATTGCAAATTTTAGATTGTATTTTAGATTGAACTGAAAAAAAGACCCATTTGTTGATTTTCTCTTACAGTCTGGAGAAAAAAAGAAGGATGATGAAACAGTTGATAGCCTAGGTATGGCTGTCTTTCTATTATCTTTTGACCTAAAAATCAGAGTTGCATACTTAAAAGCCTACAGGAGTCAGGTGGGTGTATACAGGGACTGGGAGGACTGTCGCAAATTGGAGAGCGTTATGGCTCATTTCTGCTGCCTGGCTGCCACCTTGTTGTGTTTGAGCTTCCTTGGTGCAATGTGGGTCTGATGTTGTAATTTTTTTTTCCCTTGGCCCTTTCCTGGTCCCTGCAATGAGAATCTGGACATTAAGATTTTTAATTGACGCTTCTTTTAAATACTAATTCAAAAGTTGTAAAAGCTGTTTGGTTCTAACTAAATGGAATTACAGACCCATTATTAATGGTGGTTTCTGGAATCAAGGAAATTAATTGTGTAAGGTATTGTTAATTACTCTGCATGTTTGCTGGAGGCTTCAGGGTAACTTTGGTTGGTGCTAATGGAATTGTGTAGGCTTTGGTTTTGTGAAGGTGAAAGCCAGAATCCTTCCCTTAGGTCACAGACTTTGTGTCTTTCTTAGGCCCCTTGGAGAAAGGACAAGTGAAAAATGAGGCTCTTCGAGAACTGAGAGTGGAGCTTAGCAAAAAACACCAAGCTCGGGAACTTGATGGATTTGGCCTTTATCTGTAAGTATGATAGTAGTTGGGAACTTTCCTTGGCATATTCTCATGAGTAGAAGGGCGATGTTACAAAGCATTAATTCCTGCTGTGGTTGTGTCCTTTCCTAGGTATGGTGTGGTGCTTAGAAAACTGGACTTGGTGAAAGAGGCCATTGATGTGTTTGTGGAGGCTACCCATGTTTTACCTTTGCACTGGGGAGCATGGTTAGAACTTTGTAACCTGATCACAGACAAAGAGATGGTAAGTTGAAAGGAGCCTTGTGAAAAGCCCCTGCTTCAGGTTTTACATCATTTTGCCATAATGTAGGAATGGAGGAAGAGTTTTGCCTGACCTGTGGTTAAAACTAGCTGTGTGCTGTGTCTCACTGATTTAGATTTTAAGTCTTCATTTGAAAGACTAATGACTACCTGTTGTTCAGTAGTTGTTGAATTTGTATCCAGCTACATAGAATATTTTTTCATATTCATGTCTTCACATTCAAGTTTTTTGTAATTTATCATAGACTACCTGGTCCAAGTACTACAGTTCTTCTCCAGTTTCAAAGATGGTATAGGAAGGTCTTCTCTGATATCAAAAATTGTGTTAAAGCTGTCATGGATTCTATAGAAATTTGAATATTGGTTAATTGATGAAAAATATGCATGGTATTTTATAAACTGCATTTGTTTTCTTAGTTATTACTAGATGACATTGTCTATTGTGTTAATTCTGCAGTTATTTATAGGTAATGGAAGCTCTTCCTTTCATTCACTCTAAAGAGCCAAAGACTGATTGATTTTCCCTAATAATGGTTCAAGTTATTAAACCTGTGTCTGAAACCCTATTTTGGTATAGTTGAATTTCTGTGTCTTTGTCTGCTAGACTTTCATTGGAAATTTGATTTATTTCTGAACTCAAAATATGCAAAATTAAGTGTCTTGTCTTGATTAACAAATTCACTTTCTTCCTCCCAACTTGATAGTTTCTCACTGGTGTTACTGTTTTTCCTAACACAGTTTTGACAAATTAGAATCATGTTTATCTTTTTCCTTTTTCTTTCCTCCCTTTATCTAGTCAGTCAAGAGACAGTGCCATGGTTACTTTCTTGTTTACATCTCTTCTTTTGGTTTCCTCTGCCAACTTGATTATCATCTCACATTTGGAATATATAAATAATACTCTCCATCGAATTTTTCCATTCTTACACTTCCGTATCTGAACTATCCTACAGCCTTTTCCCATGCTTAATTCTTTTTTTTTTATGAATTTATTTAATTTGTATTGGAAAGGCAGATTTACAGAGAAAAGGACAGAGAGAAAGATCGTCCATCCTCTGGTTCACTCCCCAAGTAGACACAACCACTGGAGCTGAGCCAATCTGACACCAGGAGCCAGGAGCTTCTTCCATATCTCCCATGTGGGTGTGGAGTCCCAAGGCTTTTAGCCATCTTCTTCTTACCCAGGCCACAGCAGGGAGCTGAAAGGAAAGCAGAGCAGCCGGGACTCCCAACAGGTGCTCATATGGGATCCTGGAAGTTAAAAGGCAAAGATTTTAACCAATAGGCTGCCAAGCTGGGCCCCACACTTTTTTCTCCCATGCTTATTCTTAAGACACACATATCTTGTCATTCTCTTACCAAAACTTTGCAATGATTTTACCAGTTCTATCTTATTTTTGCACTGCTTGGCAGTGCAGAACCTCGTGTCAGACCAAGCTGGCTTCTTTTTATGTTGTTGCCCTGGCCTAAATATGATCCTCATTTCTGTTTGTCTCATTTTTATTCAAATCTTACTTTTTACTTCAAACCCTGATTCCTTTCCCAAATAGGCATTCCTTCCTATTATGCTTGTATGTCATGTTTTACTTAATTGATCTGCTCTGGATTCATTATTGGGCACTCTAATCAAAGCTAAGTTCCTTTAGAAAGTATAGTTTTATGATGTTTGGGAGAGATTTCAAATTGTATTAATTGAGTCCCTCTTTCTCATGCTGCACAGTTGAAGTTCCTGTCTTTGCCAGACACATGGATGAAAGAGTTTTTCCTGGCTCACATATACACAGAGTTACAGTTGATAGAGGAGGCCTTGCAGAAGTATCAGAATCTCATTGATGTGGGCTTTTCTAAGAGCTCATATATTGTTTCCCAAATTGCAGTTGCCTATCATAATATCAGAGGTAAGTGAATAAGGACAGTGAAGCACCATCAGTCTGTGAGTGTGCCTGGCATTGTTTTCTGAAGTCCATCTTCTTTCTGCAGATATCGACAAAGCCCTCTCCATTTTTAATGAACTAAGGAAGCAAGACCCTTACAGGATTGAAAATATGGACACGTTTTCCAACCTGCTTTATGTCAGAGTGAGCTGCTTTTCTTCCTTGGACCTGATTAAACTCATTTATGTTGTATTTTGGGGTCACCTAGTTACTGCATGAAATATAATTTAGGGAGTTCCTGTTTGTTTGTTTTTATTGATTAATTTGATTTGGGATGCAGAGAGCACTCCCATCTGCTTATATAGTGTCTGGGGTTGGGTCTGGCTGAGGCCATGAACTGAAACATTCCAAGTCTCCTTTGTGGGTGGAAGGAACCATCATTGCTGCCTCCCAGCATCTCCATTTACAGAAACATAGAGTGAGGAACACTGTGGAACCCAAGCTGTCCGATACGGGACATGGGCATCTTAAGCAGTATTTTAACCACTAGGCCAAATGCTTACCTCTAGGGTGCTGCTTTTTCATGCTTACATTATCTTTCTCTTTTATTCCAGAGCATGAAATCTGAATTGAGTTATTTGGCTCATAACCTCTGTGAAATTGATAAATATCGTGTAGAAACATGCTGTGTAATTGGTAAGAATTAACTGCATTTTCTCTTTTGATATTTTATCATAATGCAAATGTAAAATAACAATATTAAATGTCAAAAATAATCACAATATGTTTCATAGAGGGTGATCCTACTATAAGAATGTTTAATGAACATGACTAAAATATTTTTCTGTACAGATACTAAAAAGTATGACTGTGACAGGGACTAATTTATTTGCATAGACTATTTTTAAGCAGAGTGTTCAGTAGACATTCTCTGTTTCCTGAGGGTATGGTGACTCCCTCGTGTGCAAATGAACTTTTTTTTTGCCAACACTTTGAGGGTAATGAATTATGGTTTCATGGCCATTTGGTGGAATATTATCTATTTTAGTAGACTTTTATTTTTCCCTGCCTACTTATTCATTGTTTTCTGTTGCTTTTAATTAGGCAATTATTATAGTTTACGTTCCCAGCATGAAAAAGCAGCCTTATATTTCCAGAGAGCCCTGAAGTTAAATCCTCGGTATCTTGGGGCCTGGACACTAATGGGACATGAGTACATGGAAATGAAAAATACCTCTGCCGCCATCCAGGCTTACAGGTGAATGTGCCATGGGAGTGTCGGGGAGGAGACTGAGAGGGAGCCGATTGCTTCTGTGTTGCCAGTTTTGGCTCTGCCCTCTGACTAGTCTATTCTGTTTCGTAGACATGCCATTGAGGTCAACAAGCGAGACTACAGAGCTTGGTATGGTCTTGGACAGACCTATGAAATACTTAAGATGCCATTTTACTGCCTCTATTACTACAGACGGGCCCACCAGCTTCGGTAAGTCTGGGCACTCGACTGTGTTTGGTGATTGCTTTTCTCTGTCTCTTGCTTGCTGTCTTATTTGCTTCAGTAATAAGTCGTGTGAGTGCCGGAGGGCTGGGGTAGGCAGCGGTAGTTTCTGTGAGGCAAATCACTGCCCAGGACTGCAGAAAAGTAAGATAGCTGGGGAAGAAGAGCCAGCTAACTGCAATCAGCAGAGAGACCTAAGCTTCGAACCCTGGGAGCTGCTAAAGCTGTGTGCTCCAGCTTCACGTTCTCAAGAAGTGTTGTGATGGCTGGCCTTCCACAAATGCATCCTCAATGTAAATGTTGATGCAAAGTTTATTAAAATTTAGAAATTGTTGACAAGGTTAGACAGATAGGAGATTATAAAAATTCTGAAAATCCACAAGAAACACCACAGAATGGGGAAAAGCAAAGAAATCAGATCACAAGAAGGCTTCCTTATTCCCCAGCGATAGGTACTTGTACTGTCCAGTGTCACAGGGAAGTGGTCTGGTTTCAGGGAGCCTGAGCTGGGGCTATAGGACAAAGGTTCTGCTCCCCCAACATTGTCTCTGTTATTGGAGAAAAATTTAGCCTCAGAAGCATGTCAAGTCTGCTATGACTGTGCAGGCAGCAGCAGAGCTCTTAAGTTTTTTTTTTTTTTTTTTTTTAAGATTTATTTATTTTTATTGGAAAGTCAGATATACAGAGAGGAGGAGAGGCAGTGAGAAAATCTTCCGTCCGATGATTCACTCCCCAAGTGAGCACAATGGCCAATGCTATGCCGATCCGAAGCCAGGATCCAGGAACTTCTTCCAGGTCTCCCACAGGGGTGCAGGGTCCCAAAGCTTTGGGCCGTCCTCCACTGCTTTCCCAGGCCACAAGCAGGGAGTTGGATGGGAAGTGGAGCTGCCGGGATTAAAACCGGCGCCCATATGGGATCCCGGTGTGTTCAAGGTGAGGACTTTAGCCGCTAGGCCACGCTGCCGGGCCCTAAATTTTTTTTCTTAAGATTTATTTTTATTGGAAAGGCAGATCAGATTACAGAGGAGAGACAGAGAATGATCTTCCATCCTTCACTCAAGTGGCCACAATGGCCGGAGCTGAGCTGATCTAAAGCCAGTAGCCAGGAACCTCTTCTGGGTCCCCCATGCAAGTTAGGGCCCCAAAGCTTTTGTGCCGTTCTCTACTGCTTTCCCAGGTCACAAGCAAGGAGCTGGATGGGAAGTAAAGCAGCCGGGACATGAACTGGTGTCCCTATGGAATTCTAGTGCATGCAAACAAGAATTGAGCCATCACTCCAGGCCCAGGACTCTTTAATCTTAATAGATACTAAATTGTACCTCCGAAAATAATAGATTCTTGCATACTCCCTCCCCTAACACTATTTCCCGCTTTAAAATTAACCTATCACTGGACTGTTACTTAGATCTAACTCTGAAGCCAAATCTACCCCAAAATGAACAAATAAAAAGTCACTTGAGGTTTATGATAAACACATATAAGGAGGAGGAGAAGAGGAAAGGGGATGTCAGAAGCAAAGTTGAGTGGCTGCATATTTCAGCAGGCAGGTGTTTGTACAGAGTATGCTGGTACCACAGCAAAGTGCCACATGAAGTCACACGCACGTGTCTTGAGTGCTAGACCCTGCCCTCGGCAGATCCAAGGACTGGGAGCTAAGGGGGGAGGTCATTCCTGTCATTCCAGTTTTAGAAGCTGTATATTCAGGATGAGAGTGACATGTGGCAGGATGATGGCCAGTGCCTGGTGGCACCAAAAGCATGGTCTGGGGAGACAGACAGTTGAGCTCTCTGAAGCACACTTACCTCGGCATCCTCTTCTTCCCAGACTAAGATCACTGCCTGCCTGCCCAGCATAAACTCAAGGGTTTGTGTCTGTCCTGGGAAGAATTGTATTTTTTGTATCTTCAAGCATCATGGTATAGTGCACCATGCAGGTCTGGCCTTGCTTCAGAAGGGACAGCATGGTGAGCCAATGTGCACAGCATTGGAGGCACCATAGGTGCCCCTAATGCCATTTATCACCAGCTGCTCTATATCTTTTGTTAGCAATTACTGAGTCACAGCAGATGGTTTTGTTCTTTAAAAAAGAAAACATAATAAATCTGGGCCTGGTGTGATGGCTCAGTGGCTAAATCCTCACCTTGCATGTGCCAGCATCCTATATGGATGCCAGTTTGTGTCCCAGCCGCTCCACTTCCCATCTAGTTCCCTGCTTGTGGTCTGGAAAAGCAGTAGACATCCCAAAGCCTTGGGACTCTGCACCCATGTAGGAGAGAAGTTCCTTGCTCTTGGCTTCAGATTGGCTCAGTTTCAGCCATTGCAACCACTTGGGGAAAGAACCAGTCTCTCCTTCTCTCATCTGCAACAGTCAGGCCCATTCCAGGGCAGAAGAGCCTGGAACTCCATCTGCGTCTTTCCTATTGGTGCGAGGGGTCCAGATACTTGTCAGTCATGTTAACAGGAAGTTGGATCAGAAAGTGTAGCTGTGACTCAGACCAACACCTCCATGTGGGATGCTTGTGTTCCCTGTGGTGGCCTGTCCTGTTGTGCTTCAGTGTCACTCCACAGCAAATGGGTTTGGTTCTCTGAGACCTCAGTTGAAATTTGGTAAATGCTGTATTTAGTATATGCTAACAGCAGTATCTTGAACACAGATTAATTGATGAAGCATTAGATAAAAGACCAGTCCTTGTGTATATTTGAAATAGTAGGGGAAGGCATCTGTAATTAACTATTTGCTACACTTTTGTTCTTTCTTAGGCCCAATGACTCTCGTATGCTGGTTGCTTTAGGAGAATGTTATGAGAAACTCAATCAACTCGTAGAAGCCAAAAAGGTACCTGAAATTGGGTCCTGATGAGTGGAAATGAAATCTGCTGAGAAGATGAAAGTGTAGCCATCCATACTCTAGTTTTTCTTTAGTCTGATCTGTATACATAGCACAATCTGAACATTAGTTATGTGAGATGAGAACAAAGCTGGACTGAGATCATTAGAAGGAGTGTGTGGTCTGTACCTATCTGACCAGTAGAAATGTCTTACATTGTTCAAGTCTGAGCTTCTGGGAGATTTGCAGGGCCTTATGCTTTATGTGATTAGATGTGGCACCTGAGCCAGTGTTCAAAGTGACTAGTTAATTATTTTTTTGACAGTGTTATTGGAGAGCTTATGCTGTGGGAGATGTGGAGAAGATGGCTCTGGTAAAACTGGCAAAGTAAGTGGAAGCAGTATAGCAAAATGAATGTGTTGGCTCCTGTGGGGTGGTGGGTCTTGCATGCTCTCGTGCCTCCCGTCACCCATCCAGAGTGTACGGATGTGGCAGGATGGACAGCTGCTGGGCTGGGAATTTAGCTGTCTTTAGAGAATGTCACTTCTTGAAAGGAGAATGGCTTTCCTCTCAGACAAGGGATCAATAGTAAATGGAAGAAAATGTATTTTGTGTGAGAACAATCTAGATGTACTTTGTTTCTTAAAAATGACTTATTTATTTTATTTGAATGGCAAAGTGACAGGAAGAAACAGAGATCTTCCACCCACTGGTTCACTCCCTAAATGCCTGAAACAGCTAGGGGTAAGCCAGGCTGAAGTGAGGAGCCTGAAATTCTTTCCAGTCCCTTCCATGGGAAGAAGAATCCATGTGCTTTAATCATTGCCATTACTTCCCAGGGTCTGTGTTACCAGGAAGCTGGAGTCAGTAGTTGGAACCTTGGATCAAACTCAGGCACTCTGATCTGGGATTCAGACATCTTTACAGTTGGGCCAGATACCTGCCCTGTGGCAAGGGGATTGTTAATGTAATTTCATTTGTGCCAGTTCTTTTATCTAGTCTTAAGAGTGAAATTCTGAAGTACATAGTATCTTTTTAAAATTTTAATTGGGTTATTACCAGAAAATTTTGTGAGAAAGTATTATCCAACTTGAGTATGTACTGACTTTTTTTTTTTTTAAGATTTTATTTTTATTGGAAAGTCAGATATACAGAGAGGAGAGACAGAGAGGAAGATCTTCCGTCCGATGATTCACTCCCCAAGTGAGCGCAACAGCCGATGCTATGCTGATCTGAAGCCAGGAGCCTCTTCTGGGCTTCCCACATGGTACAGGGTCCCAAAGCTTTGGGCCGTCCTCCACTGCTTTCCCAGGCCACAGGCAGGGAGCTGGATGGGAAGTGGAGCTGCCAGGATTAGAACCGGCACCCATATGGGATCCCGGTGTGCAAGGCAAGGACCCTAACCACTGCGCCATCGTGCCAGGCCCTGTACTGACTTTTCAACTTCCATCATTAGTAGTGCAGTAATGAGTCAACTAGTCAACTAACTTTGATAAAAGTAAAATATTAAGAAAGGCCTTAATATCTATCTGTAGGTCATAGTGTACCATTTATGCCAAAATTTGTATCTGGGGCTGATGCTGTGGGGTATCAGGGTGGGCCACCACCTGCATTGCCATCGTTTTGAATTTCCAAAGATGGTCCAAGTGCTTCAGTTCCTACACCCATGTAGGAGACTTGGAGGAAGCTCCTGGCTTCAGCTGGCCCAATCCTGGCCACAAAGGCCATTTGGAGAGTGAATAAGTAAATAGAAGATATATCTCCATCTCTCCCTGTCTATAATGCTGCCTTTCAAAAGAGTTGCACCTATTAATTTGACATCTGATGTATTTAAAGACCAATTTCTTTTGTAGGCTTCATGAACAGTTGACTGAGTCAGAACAAGCTGCGCAGTGCTACATCAAGTATATTCAAGATATCTATTCCTGTGGGGTATGTGTCATAATTGGAGAACCATATTGCTTGCCTGCCTCTTACCACTGAACTAATTCCTGCTTCTTCTGTCTAGGAAATAGTGGAGCACTTGGAGGAAAGCACTGCTTTCCGCTATCTGGCCCAGTACTATTTTAAGTGCAAGCTGTGGGATGAAGCTTCAACTTGCGCCCAGAAGTGTTGTGCATTCAATGACGTGAGTATCAGTTCTTTAATGAAGGGTTTGGACTTAGGCTAGAACGTGAGGTCTTTACCATAATACAAGGATGCAAAATGGTTAAGAACGTAAGTGAGAAACCTCCTCTGATCTGTAGAACTTGTATATCGTCAGTAGCTTAATAACTTGTTTTTAAGAGCCTTGGACATAATTGAAAAGAGTTGTCTGCTTTTCTTTCAGACCCGGGAAGAAGGTAAGGCCTTGCTGCGGCAGATCCTACAGCTCCGGAACCAAGGCGAGACTTCCAGCAGTGAGACGTCAGCTCCCTTTTTCCTTCCTGCCTCACTCTCTGCCAACAACACTCCTACACGCAGAGTTTCTCCACTCAACTTGTCTTCTGTCACACCATAATCGGCTACTTCAAGCAAGTACATTGCTAGATCCATAGCAAGCCTTCCATCCATGTCGTTCATCCAAGGACCTCACTGTCATTCCTGCAGACGGAAACCAACCACTCCTTGGGCATAGCACATATGAATGACCACCTCCAGAGGCTGACTGACAGATGAGTATCGGGAGGTACAGACATTGTCTTTTGCTAATTAGTAGCACATCTGTTTCCCTTCTGCTCAGAGTGACTATAGATCTTGGTCTTCTTCCCAGAGCTATTTTTATTCCCTAAAGAGTAGCCCTTCTACAGCACTTTAGCAAGGCAATGCTGCAGAAACAAAGTGTTAATGCTTCTGGAGTGGAAGAGTCCAAGAGGGAAGGAAAAGTCGGCTGCTCCACCTTCTGTTAGCAGTCATGGTACTTAGTACCCTGGGAGGAGATCAGGGCACCGGATAGAACTAACCTCGTTCTTGGATTTGCTGAGCATGATCCATGTTCCGATGTCAGAGATGAGGTTTAAATGGAGTGGAGCTATTCATTTGTCCTTTTTCAAGGGAAGGCATTCCTCGAAAACTGTTTCAAGATGGAGTCTTCTAAAAGCTTTCAAATTGGAAGTTACTAGAGTTGAATAAAAAAGGACAAAAGAATCCGAGTATGGAACTGCTCATGGCCCTTAACTGAGGGCAGAAGTTGGCGATAGCATTAGCTATAACCCTACCAAAGCAAAGCAAGGAGACAGTGTTTTTCACAGACATTTGAAAATAACTTTTGTTACTTTAATGACCAGAATAAACTCACTTCAAGCTGGCCTGTTTTAATAATCTTTTTATGTAAGTGTCTGCCTTTTCCCTCCTATCTCCAGTGGCCTTTATCTGGATGAGGCAAAGGGAATCATTCTTGTGGTGCTCTCAGAGGGTGGTAGCCCTGTGCATATTTCACTCTAACGCCCACTGTAATGAACTGGTGCAGAAGATGCTGTGGACCATTCTGAGCTCAGGGTCCAGCCTTTCTGTTTCCAGAACATCATTTAATATTACCTATTCACCTCCCAATATATGACATTTCATTTTTATTTACTAAGTCTTAGGTTAGTTGTATGTTAATTACTTATCTCCACTGCCATTCCTGGGTCAAGTTCCCAGGTGTTTGTTTGATTCTGTTGTTATACCTATTTTATAATGTTTTGATTATTTTTCCTAAATTTGGAATTCAAATAAAAATATGAATAATATCTTTATTTTATATACTTTTTTGTGTGCATAGAAACCATGTGAGTGAAAAAATATGAGATTGCATAGGTGATTATAATACAAAATGGGGAAGACAACTAGTATCTGAGTATTACATTCTGCGTAGTTCCAAGTATAAGGTAAAGCTTAAGAGACCCATTAAGCTGAGCAGCTGAATCACCCGAGAGCAATAAACAAGCTTTCCTTCTCAGGGCCTTAATATTTTTTGCCAAAAGGTCCCGATTTTAGTAGTGGGGAGCGCCGTGAACGCAAGATCCGAGCATAAGGACTGCAGTCTGTAGAGCTTTGGCAGGTGGGTGTCCGAGGAAGTAGGTTTCGAAGGAATGGTTTCTTTCCTGGGGGTTGCTGGTTTGGTTGCTGGTTTTCCTGGTTGGCACCAAAACGTTTTTTAGCAGAAGAGGCCTGGCCTTGAAGTTTCAGCACAGTGTGATACTGCTCAGCAATGCAGGATGCCTTCTTCCGTAGGTCCAGTTTGACTAGCATCATGTTATTTTGCAGCTCAGCCAAGGTCTGGTCCTATGGAAGATCAAAGAAGTTAGAACATACTTCTTCCTAGTATTCTGGAGAAACAGGAAGATGCCCATTACTAGTTGCTTACAACTGTTCGAAGATGAACTCCTGGGGTGTTGTGGCACAGTTTGTAAAGCTACCACCTGCAGTACAGGCATTTAATTTTAGGCAGTGTTTGTGCGCCCTGGCTGTTGCAGTGGATAGGGATCCTTAATGTGCCTCTGAAAGCAGAAGATGGGCCAAATCCTTGGGCTCCTGCATACATGTGGTAGGCCCAGATGAAGCCCCTGGCTTTGGTCTGACCATTATGGCCATCTGAGGAGTTAACCAGCAGATGGAATATCTTTGTCTAATTCTACCTTTCAAATAAGTCAATCTTAAAAGGTATTTGAATGATAATCTGCCATCTGCCAAGATGAACATTATCAGGAATCTGGAATCAGAAGCAGAGCTGGTACTCAACTCAGGATGCATCTCGCTAATGACAAATGCAGCTCAACTGTTAATGTTTTTCTTAGTAGTACATAGAATAATGTCAATGGCATCTTTAAGGGGATATGACTGTCTACCTCTCTTGGTGTTTTTAGGATAAAGAAACTTCCTATAAAATTCTTGCTTTTATTTTCCAAGAAAGAGATGCTCCCATTACTGTAAATTCAACCTAAAAATCCTCTCCCTTTCTCACTACCTCTGGATAGGGCTGGTGGAGAGGGAGGGCCATATAGGCTGTTCTAACCTGTTTGATTAAGATGTCATCACAAGTAGTAAAGGCTTGGCGGAGTTTTCCTGCCCCAGTGCTGTGACAGCAGGCTCGCTCTGCTGACTGGAGAGATTCACCGAGTTTTTGAAGCTCTGTCCGCAGCAATCTTATATTCTGAAAAATAGAATAAGGGATGGACTGGCCATGATCAACCAAGATAATGGGCTGGGTATCCAGGGGAGAAAAGTAAAATTAAGTTGCTAAATGAAATAGCCATTCTAGGACCATGTACAAAAACTGTCTTCTGCTCACATGAACCAGTGCCAAAGGATATTAGGAACTCCTTAGGTAACAGAAAGAGGACCTCTGGTAACACAGGAGATTTACCTTCTGACCCTCCTCTAACTTCTTCTCCACATCAATGATGAAGGGCTTGGCAGAAGGTGGCGGTTCTAACATTTTCTGATACTTTTGCAATTCTGAGGGGAGGAAACAGGAAACTTAAATATGTACATTTACCGAGTTAACAGCAGCTTATAGCAGGTTTAAAAAGTGAAACCACATGCATCCTAGAGGGAAAGGTTGGGGGAGTAACTTCCAGTTGAAGAAATTATGTTGCAATTGGAATCTCAGGGCCCTGAACCACTGTCTGGCTTCCCCTCTCCTTCCTCACCTTCTGTGGTGGAGTTTAACTCTGTCTTGCACTGTTCTAGTTTAGCTTTAACCTCCTGGAGCTGCTGGGTGGAGGCAGAAGCTGCCAACCTTTGTGACCGCCGAAGGGACAGTTCAGACTCTGACTGTAGATTGGCCACTGGTTGCTGTTTGGCCTCTTGCAAGAGAGCTTCTAGCTCTTCAATCTTTTCATCCCGCTCCTAAGAGAGAAGCAGAAAGCCACAATTCTCTTCACTGTCAGACAAATATTAAAATAGATGACTGAAGAAGTGAGCAAAACCTTCCCGAGACACTAGGCCTTGAAAGCCTGGCCATTAAAAAAAAAAAAAAAAAAAGCCTGACCATCTACATTCTTAATTAATCCACCAAACAGACTGAATGCCTACAAAGCTGTAACGGGAGCAGAGAGGCGACTTACATGCTTCTGCCTTTTGCCAGAGTGCAGAAACTCCATTTACCCCAAGTAACCTGGTGATCTGAACCATTATTTGGGGCTGGTTCAAGGTAACTCACTTGAATCTCTTCTTTGTAAAAACCTGTCAGTGACTCTTTGAGAATCTTTAATTTTTCTTCATACATTTCCTCCAGTAGTTCCTTTTGGGTGTCCAAATGCTCACTGTCAAGAGAAGTGGGCAAAGACCGTCAGAGGTAAACTTGGAGAAAAGACTGAAGCACAGTTCAATCCCAGTCCTTTTCCTCTAACCCCATCCCAGGTGACACAGGGCTGGGGGCTTCTTGGCTGGTACCTGCACCACTGTTCTCGCTGTCGCATCTGCTCCACCATCTCATTGCAGATTTCATCACGGAGCTCCATCTCCAGCTGCCGCTTTTCCTGTCTTTCTTTCAACAGCAGTGCTTTCATGGCTTCTACCACCTGAAGGAGCTCCTAGGAGGAACATCCACAGCAGAGGTCATTAGTAGCAAGCCTTGCCTCAAAAGGCACAAGTCCACCCAGAAGGCAGCGTAAAAAATGCAAAGGCAGAAGCTAAGGCATCAGAGCCTCCTTGTTTTCTCACCTCCTTGCCATACACGGAAATGTCAGCTTCATCTTCAATGTCGTCATCAAGCCCTGGACCTGCCTTGGCCCCTCTGTCCAAGCTGGATGCTTGAAGACTGTGTTCCTTGATGAGTGAATGTAGTGATGAGAGTCCCAGTTGTACAGGTGGGACATGTACAAGCTGGAGGGGAGGGGAGACAAAAATCTTAATTGATTGCATAACTAGTACACAGTAGCTTTTTTTTAAAAGCTGTCAGACCAAAGCAAGCACAACCATTCCCCTATTTAGTGTCTCACCTGGCTGGCAATGGCTGAGAACTTGGCTACATGAAGAGTCTCATCGTAAGCAGATGCACAGGGATTCACATTGACAATCATGCAGGAACGACCTCGGCCAGTGAAGAAGCCTTGGAATACTCGGGTCAATTTGCTGTCTCGGAAGGGAACCAGGCTCTGCTTTGATCTGGCATGAAAAAGAAAATATGAGCAGAATTCGAAGCCTTGGGGCAGCCCAGCACCATACCTGGTGGTGACAGGAAGTCTCAGGACACTGCAGTGCCTGAGGACATCCCAGCCCGCAGCTTATAATCAAAAGCTCACCGGTTCTGCTGGTTTTGGCGCAGAGCAGCGATACAGCGGCCCAGAGTGTGCAGAGAAGTGTTAATATTTCCAGCTTCCTTCAGCCTTTCACCACTCTTCTGATCTTTGCAGCGCTCTGACCCAGCCAGGTCACAGAGAGACAACCTAGAATGATGCACAGACCCAAGCAAGCACCTCATGTAACAAACCTGGCAGGACTTACCAAAAATCTCAATACAACTTCCTTCTCTGAGGGCTTCCTCCCTGTTCTTCCAGCTACCATGTATGGCTAAGAAGTCCAAATTTCTTTTTTCTTTTTTTAAAAAATATTATTTGAAAGAGTGACATCTGCTTGTTCACTCCACAAATGGCTGCAACAACCAGGGCTGGGCCATGCCAAAGCCAGGAGCTCCATCCTAGTCTTCCATGTAAGTGGAAGTTGTCCAAGGATTTGAGGCACCAACCTTTGCCTTCTCAGGCATCTGGATTGGGAGCTGAGCAGCAGGGACTTGAACCTGTACTTTAATATGAGATGCTGGTGTCATAAGCCTAAGCCAGTAAGCCAAAACGCAGTCCAAATTTCTAAAGGGAAAAACTTACTCGCTGATTTTGGGGACTATATCCCCTTCCCCTTGAAGGTGCAGGATCCGGATTGAGAAGATGCTGTGGCTATAAGTTAGGAAAAAGAAAAACATGTCATTGTGTATCTTCCATGACCAAGTGGAGGACTGACAATCCCTGGGGATGGTGAAGAGTATATTCTTACAACCCTCTTACCTGCGGCTGGAGTTCTGGTTCAGGTGGGTGCTGGCAAAGCTCTGGTTCTTACGACCCACCTTCAGGAGTTTCCAGGCCTCCTCGGCATTTTGAACATGAATCCAATTAAGATCTGAGGCCAAACGAGAGGGGCATAAGACACAAGAGACACACCATCAGCTCTCCCAGTCTCTTTCCAAGTTCCCCCCTGGGTTCATGCCAACACCCTCAACAGTCCATACCTTTCACATATGGATTTCCATTCTGATCTTCACATAGCCGCAGAGTCTGCCTTTTGCGCTGCTGGTTAGGTGGCTCTAACAGATCATAGAGTAGTTCGTTGTAGATCTCAAAAAAGGAGACCCATATGGAGAAGCGAATGTCTGCTGGAACACTTACAGGGGCAGTGTCTGGCTGTGCCCATCGGTGACTCATTTCTGGAGAAGAAGTCAACAAGGAGAATATTGACACTAGAGCAGCCCTTGCACCTTTGGACTGTGAGGACCTCTGAAGGCAGAGCTCAGACCTGTGTGGTTGGCAACTCTGGCACTAATTAAGATTGGGGAAAGGTTTCCTACTATTATCAGACATGGAACCTCATCACAGTACCTACCATCTAATTGGCTACTGCTGGTAAGTTGACTGGTAGAAGAAAGTCCAGCAATGCCACTGTCCAAGCTGATGCTGGTACCCATCTGACTTTCAGTGTGGACACTCCTCTTCAAGGAGGTGGACAGCTCTTCCTGAGGGGCACAAAGAGAAAGTGAGCATAAAACTTGAGATTTGTGCCTACTGACCCAGCCTCCACAGATACCAACACTTTACCTCTAGGAGGCCTCCATTTATCAATGACAGCTTCTTAATTTCTTCCTGTCGGATCTGCTTGCTATCTAGCCAGATGACTTCATTGGAGAGCAAGGGCTTCAGGTCAGGCGTGGGATGAAGTTGGCCTTGGAGGCTACTGAAAATCAGAGCCAATGATCGGGGAAGGATTCCTCCATCCTTAATGGTACCTGGAGGCATATAAAAGATGGGACTGCTGAGACAGGTTCTTTCTTATCCCTAACTCAGAGAATCAAGAGGTAAAGATTATACTGTCATAAGACAACCGGCAACACCATGTAGCCTTGCTACTCACCTTGAATCGTGTGCGTTTTCCCCGAGTTGGTGACTCCGTAAGTATAGATGAGCCAGTTCTGCCCTCTGAGTACATCCTTTACCATCTCCTTTACAGTCAGGTTGAAGAAGGATGCCTGTCCAACTTCTGGTCCAAAGATCTAGAGGCAGACCAGTACCTCAGAGGTCCATCATGTATGTTACACTTTGCTCCCACCCAGAGCCAGCCGGCATATCCCTTCTTGGTAATTTAATGTGGAAACTACTCAAGAGTTCTCTCTCACAGTGCTATCAAAAATTCACCAAATGCTGACACTCAACCACACTCTGCTAGTGCATCTTTGATCCTACCCAACAAACACGCAAGGGATTGCTGCACACCCAGTGGGGCAATGTAACAGTCCCAAACATAGGCTTTGGAGATGGACAGATCTGTGTCCAAGTCCTAATACTACCACTAACAAGCCATACAGCTTGGGCTTAATGTCTAGACATTAGTGTTAATGTCATTGAACCAGATTCCTTGTATTTCTTCAGGGATACAGAACCGGGAGTATGCACTTCGACATATTTCCCTTACTTACAGACCAGTACCTCCATACCTGGGAAAAAGTAAACCTGTGGGTGGCTGGGCCAATTCCCCGCTCATTGCTCTTCAGGGCAAAGGAGTCCTTGGGGGCTTGTAAAACAAGGGTCTCCACATCCTCGATACGGACACAACCCTTCGATGAGGGAAAGAGTTGTTATAGCAGGAAATATTCCTGGGAACCTCTTCTCCAGTGCATTATTCCATTTAAATACTCCCTCTTTACTCACCTGATCTTCTTGTCGCTCCAACTCAGAAGGTAACAAGGGCCTGACCCTCAGGTAAACTTTGACCTTCTCTGTACTGTCTTCCGACGGAACCTGTGATAGAATTCCAGTCCAGTACCAAAGATTAGTCTCAGGAATTTCCTCTGAGCAAAGGGCAAGCACGCACCACAGTCCTAGGAATCATGCCGACACTACCAGAGTCAATTTCAAATTCAAATGTCTTGGCAGTCACATTTTCGGTTCTACAATCATTCCAGCCTGCATAAACTTTTTTTTTAAACTGTTTGTTATCCTTTTCTCTCTCCTCAGTTCTCAGTATCCTGCAAACCTGGTTTGCCATAGCAATTATTTGAGTTAGAATTGACTGACATGAAAATCAGCAAGGTGAGCCAGGCAGACACAATTCAATCTCAGTCCCAAATTATTTAGTAATTATGAGCTTTTGAACACATTTTAAAAATACCTGCTGCTACAGTTTCCTCATCTATAGAATGGGACTCATAATACCACCCTCTTCATCCACTCAGTAGGTTTATGGATTGGCCACTATGGCCCAAGAGCTCCAAGAACTACAGTAGTCCACAGGGACATTGTCAAGAACTCTACTTTTTCTTTTTTTTTTACAGATTTATTTTTATTGAAAAGGCAGATATACAGAGAGGAGGAGAGACAGAGAGGAAGATTTTCTGTTCAATGGTTTACTCCCCAAGTGACTGCAACAGCCAGAGCTGAGCCAATCCGAAATTGGGAGCCAGGAGCTCTTCCAGGTCTCCCACGTGGGGGCAGGGTTCCAAGGCTTTGGGTTGTCCTTGACTGCTTTCCCAGGCCACAAGCAGGGAGTTGGATGGGATGCAGGGCCACCGGGATTAGAACTGGCGCCCATATGGGATCCTGGCACGTGCAAGGTGAGGACTTTAACCACTATGCTATCGTGCCAGGCCCAAGGACTCTACTCTTGTGGAGCATTCTAAGTTCATAAGAAAAATTCTTTTAAGAAAGGACAAAATGTGACAACAGGATTAGTCAACATTTAGCATAGGGCTTAGTAAAATGGTACTCAACCAGGGCCATTTCTCTACCTCTCATCCTGCATGAGACATTTAGTTATATCTACACTATGTGGTTATCAGAAAAGGGACGGTATTACTGATATCTGATTCTTGGAGAATGCTGCTAAAAGATACAGATAATACCTCCCACAAAGATTACACCCCCAAATGTCAAGGAAGCTGTGGTCAATAAATGCAGAAAGAAGTTATGGTTCATATTGTTAAGAATATACATTCTACGTACTTAAAGCCAGGGTGACTAATTATCTAAGTAAGTACTATCTTTCCCTTAGATATATAACTAGGAGTATGCACTTGAGGGTATTTCATTCACGAAAGCAACTAAGAGTTCTTAAGGGTGCACATTTTTTTAACTTGTCATGCCCTTAGTTTTGAATTGATATTTCCCAGTTTCTGTATTATCAGCCTCTGGCCTTGCGGGGGGACAAAACTGAGGGTATCACTTTCTGCCCAGCGAGCCACACTCTCACTCCTTTACCTGCTGCTTGTCCTCGAGAGAAGTGGAGATGATGGAGCAGTCTGACAGTAGTGCCTTGCGAACCACGGACCCCAAGTCCGCAGCTGTGGACTCAAACACGGGGGAAACACCCACATCCTCATCTGACAGTAAGCCCGTCGGCGGAGAAAGGATCCCTTGCGACATGGCAGCAGTGGGCAGCCTGGCTCCACGGAGGCAAGAATCGGGAGCAAGAACTATAAGGGACAGAAGAAGTTTCCAGTTCTAGGTTTGAAAAATTTAAAAAGGCAAAAATCTTGTCCTAACACACTCGGCTCAGCTGCTTGAATTTCTACTCCTTCCCCATCTCGCTCCCCGCCCCCCCCATCCCAATTATCTGCAAAGAGAAAAGGAATGACGAAGGTTGATCACGTCGTCTGAGTTCTCGAACGCTTACAACAACAACAAAAACAAACAAAAAAAGACCCTCTGGCTCCAAAAGCAGGAGGCCACGCTTCATCCAGGGCTCCGGACACGGCCCCTGGGTTCGTCCGCACTCACCCCTGACTCGCCGAGAGAAACGAGAACGGCCAGAGGAGATGTCTCTCGGCGTTCTAGAAGTCTGTTCCTCGTGTGCAGGCGCCGGTAAGCAGGCTGGAGCAGGCCAGCAACCGCACCGAGATCCTGACGTTCGTCTCCGGCTCGGGTCCCAGCTAAGATCCCCGCGGCAGGATCTGTTCTCCAGCCGCCCGAAGGCTGAGCTCCGCCCACGAGGGGTAGCTTTGTTCCCGATACAATGTTTTAAACTGCGCGCTGCCGCCCGTCCGGCCAATCGGCTCGCGAAGCCTGCCGCTGGCCGTCAGCGTGAGGGAAGGAGGCGGGGACTTGGGGGAAGCGTTGACCTCTCCGCGCTCATGTGGGTCCGGGTTACCAACCGTCGCCGAGTCCACTTGGGATTCCTGACTCTGTTTGAACGCTATTCATTTTGTTCCTAAGTCTTGAGCTTTACGTCCTATTTTTTTTTTTTTTAAGTAACAGTCGTTCCCAGGAATTCACAGATAACGGGTTCAGAGGTCGTCGAGAGAAACACTACGTTTCCCAGGAGGCAACGCGAACCAACGCCTGCACTCTATTTCCCAGAGTTCCCCGGGACCGGGCCTCTCGCACGGCCTCCCCTCAGCAGTTGGACGACGTCGGGGCCAAGATGGCGACAGGGACGGGCAGTGAGTGTCGGGGCGGCTTTTGTTTAGAGGGCCTCTGTGAAGCCGGGGTTTAGCACCGCGTTTAGACGGCGGGGAGAGTGGGTTGCCGGAAAGCTCACGGCGTTGAGGGACCTGGGCTCGGTAGTGCGGTGGAGAAGGAACGTTTGAGGGTCCATTAGAGTTTTGTGTCTTAGGAAGCCGGAGGTTCGAGAAAACCAGCTTAGTGAGGACGTGTGGTGTAAGCCGTGAGCTCCGCAGGAATAGGAGAGCGAGGCAGTTTGCACAGCCGGGGGTGCGGACGGGCAGTTGGGAGCCCCGTGGGGGTGTGGCCGGCGCTCGAGGGCCGCTCGGCGTCCGAGGAACGGTTGGGGGGCGGCGGAAACGGGTGGTTTGACCGCGGGCTTCCGCCGCTGAGGAAGTGGCGTTTCTTGCCTTTAAGCCGTTGGGTAGGAGATGGGGCTCGGAGTCCCCACGTTGACAGGTTGCTAAGAGGGTAGGCGGGGCAGGGGAGCGGCTGGCCGCCCTGGAGCCTGGGAAATAGGCTTCCCTTCACGTTGGGAATCTTAAGTGTTTTGATAGAATGGCTTCATCTTAAAAACTGGTGGTCCGTTTTTCTCCTTCCTTTTTTTTTTTTTTGTTGTTAAAACAGCTTTAGCTATAGCGTTTGATGAAATACTCTATAATTCCAATGTAAGGAATGGAATAGGTGCCACTTCCAGTGGTGAGAAAATAAAAGATTGGTTGATAGTTTCTCACATTACTCCAGCAGCGCAGAATGTTTTGTATGGGGTTTTAATCTTTTCTTTGGCACTGAAGGCTACGGTTCCAGCGGTTGTCTCTAAGCCTTGTTTCCTTTCAGAACACAAGCTGCTGAGTACTGGCCCGACGGAGCCGTGGTCCATCCGAGAGAAGCTGTGTCTAGCCTCTTCTGTCATGAGGAGTGGTGATCAAAATTGGTAAGAAGTCCGGGAGAGTTGTTCTCCTGGATGTGGGAGATTGTTGGGATTTTTTTTTTTTTCACATTTGTGAATTCCTACTCATATTAACCTTTAAGTAGTAATTTTTTTTTAAACTTTTGTTTTGGTTTTTCTGAAGTTTACAAATTGTTTATTTTTGTTGGAAAGTCAGATACATATAGAGGGGAGGAGAGACAGAGAAAAATAACATCTGTCCATTGATTCACTCCCCAAGTGGCCACAATGGCCTCAGCAAGCCAGGAGCCCAGATCCTCTTGCGGGTCTCCTGCTTGGGTGCAGGGTTCCAAGGCTTTGGGCCATCCTTGACTGCTTTCCCAGGTCACAAGCAGGGAGCTGGATGGGAAGCAGAGCTGCCAGGATTAGAACCGGCACTCATATGGGATCCCGGTGCATTCAAGGGGAGGACTTTAGCTGCTAGGCCATGGCACTGGTCCTAACTTTTGTATTTTTATGGTACAGTTCCACAGTCTTAGGAATTCCCACCCTCCGCATTCCTCTCCCCTTCTGATTTCCCCAATATTATTTTAGGTAGTATTTTTTTCTAAAGGTTTTATTTTTATCGGAAAACTTTTATACAGCGGTTGCAGCTGTTTGGGGAGTGAAAACTTTTATACAGCGGTTGCAGCTGTTTGGGGAGTGAATCATCAGACCGAAGATATTCCTCTAAGCCTCTCCACTCTGTATAACTGACTTTCCAATAAAAATTAGTAAATCTTTAGAAAAAAAAAGATTTACAAAGGAGAGACATTGTTTTACTCCCTAGAATTACTCCCCAAATAGCCACAGTGGCTAGGGCTGGCCCAGGCTAATGCCAGGAGCTCATGACAGTCTGCCCAGATCTCTCACATGAGTGCATGAGTTTTTCCACTTTACCCATTCTCTGCTGTTTTTCCCAGGCACATGTTGCAAGCTAGATCAAAAGTAGAGCAGTTGGAACTAAATCAGTACAGGGACTTTACCTGCTGTACCACAGTGCCTGCTCCTCAAAGACCATTGTAATCTTTTGTCCATTCAGACTTTTTCATGTGAGATAAAAAAATGAAGTAATTGGGTAAAATTTTATTGTATTAAAGTAAATGCTTTTTAGGGGAAAAGAGCTGTTAGATACCATTATCCAAAAACAAGTTTTAAAAATTGGCTCCTTAAGATCATGAAGCTTTGAGACTGGAGTCGTGGCGTGGTAGCCTAATCCTCAGCTTGTGGTACTGACATCCCATGTGTGCTCTGGTTCAAGTTCCAGCTACTCTGCCTCTATGTTACCAGCAAAAGTTTAACCCCCTATACCTTGATACACCACCCCCGCCTTTATTTTTTAAGATTGCTTAATTTATTTTGAGAGGCAGCGTTACGTATAAAGAGATGTTCCATTCAGTTATCTACTTCCTAAATGAGTGCGATGGCAAGGCTGGAGCCAGGAGTTTCATCCAATCTCCTACAGGTAGCAGGGACCCAAACACTTAAATCATGTTCTGCTCATTTCCCAGGCTTATTAGCAGAGAGCTGGATTGGAAGTGCAACAGCCAGGACTTGAAACGGTGCCCATATGGGATGCCAGTGCTATAGGCAGAGACTTAACATATTATATCATGGCATCCCTAATTGTACCTAATAAGGCAGTAAACACAGTTGGACACTTTTATACCCTTCCTTGAGCTCCATCTATTTTTGCCTGCCTCTGTGTCTTTATACCTGTGACATTTTGAAAGGCATTTGCAGTCTTTGTTGGGGGCTTTTTAATATTTGAGTGAATGAGATGTTAGATATCCTTTTGCAGGTGTTATGGAGAAGTTCCACTGTTACTCGTTGTCTCATGTGGTCTACATGAGCATCTTGCTTGCTTTTGTTTAATTATTTCTTTATGTTACATTCTCAGGAATTGTAATAGTAAAACAAAAGAGAAAAACTGTGGAGTGGAGAGAGAGATCTTCCATCCACTGGTTCACTCCCAAAATGGCTTAATAGCCATGGTATGAGCAAGGCTGAACTTAGGAGCCAGGAACTTCATTCTTTTCTACAATATGGTAGCAGTAGCGCAAACACTTGTGCTGTGTTCTGCTGCTTTGACGTTAACAAGAAGCAGGATTGACAGCAGTACAGTTGGAATTCAAACCTGTTCATGGATATGTAGTATTAGCTTCACAAGTGACAACCCACTGTACCACAGCATTTTACCCAGGCAGAGCTTTTTTAGAAGTACCAAACTAGAGCAAAGGCAACCAAAGAATATTTCCTCAGATGAACAGAAGTAATAGCTTAGAATGCGCTCTCTCTTTTTTTTTTTCTTTTGATAAAATTTATTTTGTTTTTATTGGAAAGTCAGATATATGGAGAGGAAAGACAGAGAGGAAGACCTTCCATCCACTGATTTATTCTCCAAGTGGCTGTAAACAGCCATAGCTGAACCGATCTGAAGCCAGGAGCCCAGGGTTTCTTCCAGTACTCCCACATGGGTACAGGGCCATCCACGACTGCTTTCCCAGGCCACAAGCAGGGAGCTGGGTGGGAAGCCGGGCCACTGGGACACGAACTGGTACCCGTATGGGATTCTGGGCACGTGCAAGTCTAAAGACTTCAGCCGCTAGGTCCAGGAGGCTATCTAGTTCACCCATGAAAACTGTTTGGCAAAGACTTCTCGTTTTTTATAATCACCTATTACCAGTGGTAAATCTTTAAATTTTGTTTATTTGTTTGAGAGGCAAAGACAGATTATTTATCTGTTGATTTGCTCCCCAGTTGCCTGGACCATGTGAAACTCAGCTGAGCCAAAGTCAGGAATGGGAAGATAACCTGTGTTTTCCACATGGAGAGAAATTCAATTATATGATCCATCTCTGATTACCAGGGTCTGCATTTGTAGGAACCTGGAGCCGAGAACTGTAGTGGAATATCAAACCTAAGTACTCTGATATGGGGCACAGGAACCTTAAGTGGTTGGTACATGTATCTCAAAACTGGTAGGGTTTTTTTTTTTTTTTTGAAAGATTTATTTATTTATTTATTTATTTATTGGAAAGTCAGATATACAGAGAGGAGGAAAGACAGAGAGGAAGATCTTCTATCCGATGATTCACTCCCCAAGTGAGTGCAACGGCCGATGCTGTGCCAATCCAAAGCCAGGAGCCAGGAACTTCTTCTGGGTCTCCCTATCGGGTGCAGGGTCCCAAAGCTTTGGGAGGCAACAAACAGGGAGCTTGATAGGAAGTGGAGCTGCCGGGATTAGAACCAGTGCCCATATGGGATCCCAGCGCATTCAAGGTGAGGACTTTAGCTGCTAGGCCACGCTGCCGGGCGCAAAACTGGTATTTTTTTTAACTTTTGCAATCAGAGTCTTGCGAGCGATCTCAGCATACTTCTCTCTTCTCTGACCACTGCTTTTTTGATTTAGTGTTTAATAAGGTTTTTCTCATTTTGTAGGGTATCAGTTAGCAGAGCAATCAAACCCTTTGCAGAACCTGGCCGTCCTCCTGACTGGTTTTCACAAAAGGTAAGTTCTCAAACAAATTGCATTTTTAAAAGTATTTTATTTATTTGAAAAACAGAGCAGCAGAAAAGGAAGGAGACAGATTTTCCATACTCTGGTTCACTCCCTAAATGGCTGTAACATCCAGTGCTAGACCAGACCCATGTCAGCTAGGTTCTGGGAACTCCATCCAGGTCTCCCACATGATTGGCAGGGATTCAAGCACTTGGGCTGTTATCTGTTGCCTTCCTAGGCACATTCCCAAAGAGAGGCAGAATCAGAATCAGCATTCTTATATGCGTTGTCAGCAAAGCAAGCAGCAACTTCTTTTTATTTATTTATTTATTTATTTATTTATTTTTATTACAAAGTAGATGTACAGAGAGGAGGAGAGACAGGAAGATATTCTGTCCAATGATTCACTTCCCAAGAGAGCAAAACAGCCAGTACTGCGCTGATCAGAAGCCGGACTCCAGGAACCTCTTCCTGGTCTCCCATGCGGGTGCAGGGTCCCAAGGCTTTGGGCCATCCTTGACTGCTTTCCCAGGTCACAAGCAGGGAGCTGGATGGGAAGTGGAGCTGCCAGGATTAGAACCGGCACCCATATGGGATCCTGGCGCTTTCAAGGCGAGGACTTTAGGTGCTAGGCCACTCGCCGGGCCCAAGCAGTAACTTCTTGATAGCACTACAAGTGCTCTTTGAGAGCTGTCTTTGGTCCATGAAATAGACTCTCTATTAGGCTCTGTCTTCTAAAACCTTTTTTTTTATTATTATTATTAATTACATTGTATTATGTGACACAGTTTCATAGGCTCTGGAATTCCCCAACCCCTCCCCATATCCTCCCCCCTTGATGGATTCCTCCACCCTGTTGCAATATTACAAATCAAATTCAGTTGAGATTCTTTCATTGCAAGTGTATACCAAGCAGAGTCCAGCATCTAATTGTCCAGATACATTAAATGGTTTCTTGGGGAGATCATCTCTGCTCTGAATGCAGAGCTGGCAGAATATCATCCTGATTAATTAAAGCCCCAACTTGACATCAATGACAGTTTACAACATTATGGAATTAATTGTCATGGTATTAATAACCAATATGTTACAAGGCTACTTCATTGACATTTTGATTTAGTTTATATTCAATCAGCTTCTATACACCTTAAAATGGCTGTAGGGTACTATTCAGCTGTCTCATGTCTATCCTCATTTTAGTATTTAGCAGTCTTTAGCATTGAAGCATAACTCTACTGAACCTGGTAGGTTTTACGATAGTCTAAATTGGCTTATAACTAGCAAGGCATATATCAGCAGTTGAGGTGTAGAGCTATTTTAGGAGGGGTGTGCAGAGAACTCCTCCATTCCCCTGTGAGGAGTATCTAATCTCTGTGTCCTACCTAGTAAGGTATATGTGAGTCCATGCTGACTATTTCCTGTCTGGTTCTGAGCTTTCCTTATTGTTCTCTATTTGTTCTGACTTTGTTTGTTTGCAAAACATTTTTTCTAAATATCTAGTTTTATTGGAAAGGCAGATTTACAGAGAGAAATGTCTTTCCATATGCTTGTTCATTCCCCACTGGCTGCAATGACTGGAGCTGAGCCCATTTAAAGCCACAAGCCAGGAGCTTCTTCTGGGTCTTCCACGTGGGTACAGGGTTCTAAGGCTTTGGGCTGTCCTCAACTGCTTTGCCAGGCCACAAGCAGGGAGCTGGATGGGAAGTGAAGCATCTGAGACGTGCCCTGCCACCCATATGGGATTCTGGCACATGTAAGGGGAGGATTCGGCCACTGAGCTAACATGCTGGGGCTGAGAAAATACGTATTTTTTAAAGACTTTATTTGAAAAGCGGAGTGCTAAGTTAGGGAGAGACAGGTCTTCGAACAATTGGTTCACTTTGCAAATGGCCACAGTGGCTGAAGCTGTGATTAGGGGACTCAGTCTAGCTCTTCTTTAGGGATGGCAGTGGTCCAAGTACTTCCCAGGTGCATTAGCAGGCAAGTGGTTTGAAAGTAGAGTGCCCAGGACTTAAACCTTGGCTCTAGTTTGAGGTGCCAGCTTTGTAGGCAACAGCTTAGTTCACTGTGCTACAGTGTGAATCACGGACCTTTTGTTTACATGGCTTTTATGACATGAAGTTGGGAGAATGATGGAGAATGCCTTTTGATTTTATCTACCATTAGAATTTATGTATGCTCATGTCACAGACTTGTTAGCATATCAATAACTGAACTGAAGCTTATAAGCGGAGTTAGATCTGGGTTAGATATGTCTGCACCTAGTCTTTGGACTATGATTCTCAGTTATTTCTTGTATGAAATAGCTGCTTCAGCAGCATCATAAAGTTAATTGACGTAGTGTAGGTACAAGTATAGCATTTAGCATGGAGCCTTGCAAGTGGTGATCACTTAGTTGATAGTCACTGTGAATATTGGCTAAAAGTTGACTTTCCAAGCCAGAGGATTCCTTTTATGCCTTGGTTTTGATTATTTTGACCTAATTTGATTGCGGAGTAATTGCCCTCCTAGAAACCACTCAATTCACATATAGCTATCCTGGCTGCCTTAATTTGTTGAAACTTTGAAAGATCACTGATTTCCAAGGTTGCTTATCATGTTTTACCTTTCTTCCCACAGCATTGTGCTTCCCAGTATTCAGAGCTTCTGGAGACCACTGAAACTCCAAAGTGAGTATAAAGCTAGATACTCAACTTCCAGGTCCTTTAGTCGAGTGTGTACTGAGGATATCTCTGGTTTATATTTTACTATTGCTTGGAGGGAAGAAATTGCAGAAATTATCTGTGATTAAGTGCTAGAGAAGGTGAAAGAAAGCAAGTAGCAGTGAAAACAAATACTCCCTTATGTAAATGTGAGTTTTTAAATATTAATTTAGGGAGAAGGGAGAGAGATGGTTTATCCACGGGCTCACTTCCTAAACAGCCACCATCGCTGGTGCTGAGCCAGGCTGAAGCCAGGAGTCAGAGCTGCATTTGGGACTCCCACGTGGTTGACCCAAGTATTCAGGCCATCTTTTGCTGCTTTCCTAGGCACATTAGCAAGGAACTGGATCTAAAGTAAAGCAGCCAGGGCTAGAATTGGTGCCCACACAGGATGCTAGCTTTATTGGCACACACAGCTTTACGCATCATGCCAAAATGCTGGCTTACGAAATGTGATTTTGTATCAGCATTTAAAAATCTTCTTGGGCCCGGCAGCGTAGCCTATCGGCCTAAGTCCTCTCCTTGAACACGCCGGGGTCCCATATGGGCACCGGTTCTAATCCCGGCAGCCCTACTTCCCATCCAGCTCCCTGCTTGTGACCTGGGAAAGCAGTCGAGGACGGCCCAAAGCCTTGGGATCCTGCACCCGATAGGGAGACCCAGAAGAAATTTCTGGCTCCTGGCTTCGGATCAGCATAGCATCGGCCGTTGCGCTCACTTGGGGAGTGACTCATCAGACGGAAGATCTTCCTCTCTCTCTTTCCTCCTCTCTGTATATCTGACTTTCCAATGAATAAATAAATAAATCTTTAACAAGAGAAATCTTTTCTCATAGACGCAAACGAGGAGAGAAGGGAGAAGTGGTAGAAACTGTTGAAGATGTTATCGTTCGGAAACTGACTGCTGAGCGAGTAGAGGAACTAAAGAAAGTGATAAAGGAAACCCAGGAGAGATACAGGTACTTATCAAAAAGAATGCCAAATATTTGGGAAAGAAAATAGTGTCTGACTTGTAATACGGGTCACGATGTTTTAAATAGTAGATTATGTCTACCTCTTTATTCCTACAGACGGCTAAAAAGAGATGCTGAACTAATTCAAGCTGGACATATGGATAGCAGACTGGATGAACTGTGCAATGACATTGCAATGTGGGTTATATTGTGTTGTTTCTTCATTTGTGCTTCTTTCTTTTCACCCTCTTTCCCACTTTCCTCCTTTTGTTATTATTTCTGTTACTGTTTTCCATGATACAGTTTTGTAGGTACAGGTATTCCCTCTAGTCTTCTATGCCCCATCCTAACCCCACTTCCCGCAGCCCTTTAAACCTTAAACCTTAGAACAATTCTGGAAAAAGAAAGCTAGAGAGTGACTTAATGGCTAGAATGGGGGAGTGACTCTTAAATAAGGACACAATGAAACATTTCAGCATGCAAACATAACTTTTCTAACTCAAAAGTGAGTCTTATTTTGCCTAAGTTTCATTGTTTAGTATTACTGTTTGATCCTTTTCTCTAGAAAGTATTGACTTGTCCAGATTTTCTTTGGAAGGCAACTGTAACCTGGAGAGAAGCTAGAACTTGCTAACTGTTAACCCTTCTTTCTCAAGGAAAAAGAAATTGGAGGAAGAGGAGGCTGAAGTAAAAAGGAAGGCTACAGATGCTGCATATCAGGGTAAGCTAAAGCTAGTATCTCTTAACAATTGGATACAGTATTACATGCTAATGACATTGGAGCTTTTTTTTTTCTTTAAGATTTATTTATTGGGTTGGATATGATGCCCTAGTGGCAAAATCCTCACCTTGCATGTGTAGGGAGCCCATATGGACGCTGGTTTGTGTCCCAGCTGCTGCATTTTCCAGTCCCTGCTTGTGGCCTGGGAGGGTGGTAGAGGATGACCCAAAGCCTGCATGGGAGACCCAAAGGAGGCTCTTGGCTCCTGGCTTAGGAATAGCTCCAGCTGTTGTGGCTGCTTGGGGAGTGAACCAGCAGACAGAAGATCTTTCTGTTACCTTCTCTCTGTAAATTTACCTTTTCAATAAAAAATATATAAATATTAAGGGAAAAAAGAGTGTTTATTTGAAAGAGTTACAGCAAAGAGAGAAGGAGAGGCAGAGATAGAGCTTCCAGCAGCTGTTGGTGTGTTAGACTAAAGCCAGGACCCTGGAACTTAGGAGTGCTTGGCAGGGACCCATACTCCTCAGCCATCTTCTACCACCTTCTCTGGTGCATTAATAGGGAGCTGAATTAAAAGTGGAGCAGGGCCTGGCGCAGTGGCCCAGCAGCTAAAATCCTCACCTTGAAAGCACGCCAGGATCCCATATGGGCACCAGTTCTAATCCCAGCGGCCCCATTCCCATCTAGCTCCCTGCTTGTGGCATGGGAAATCAGAGGAGGACAAACCAAAACCTTGGGACCCTGCCACCTACAAGGGAGACCTGGAGGAGGTTCCTGGCTCCTTGCTTCAGATCAGCACAGCACCAACTGTTGCGGTCATTTGGGGAGTGAGTGATTGGATGGAATATCTTCCTCTCAGTCTCTCCTCCTCTTTGTATATCTGACTTTCCAATAAAAATAAATAAATTTTAAAAAAAAAGCGGAACAATTAGAACTTGATCCAGTATTTATTTGGTATGCTAGCTTCACAGGTAGCAGTATAACCTTAAAATTTTACAAAAGTTTATTTGAGAGACTGCTCCTGTTTAGGGTTCATTTTTAAATGCCTGTAATGCCTGGGACAAGGCCAGGCTGAAGCTAGGTGTAAAATCAATCTAGATCTTCCTCATGTTTACAGGACCCAGTTATTTGTGCCATTCCAGGGGGTGTACATTTGCAGACTGTTCTGTAATAATGTGTTTTAACAGCTCACAAATTTGCAATCATTGTCCTTTACTCTTCTCTTTTACTAGAATATAAACATCCCTTCATGGCCTAGGAAAAAAACCCTTGGACATTAAGTTTGCTCAGATGTCACTAGACTGAAATGACTTTCAGGACATAAGGATTTGGTAATTGAACATAATTGAACATTGAACGTAAATAAGGTTTTAGAAGTCAAAGGCCTGTGAAAACACTGCAAATAACTCATTTAGATGAGAAAAGCCTCAGTGGCTTCCAACTGTACAGACATGTGCTGTGAATCAGTATAATTTTTCTCTTTTTTTTTTCTCCCCTTAAGGTTTATTTATTGTTATTGGAAAGTCAGGTTTACAGAGAGAAGAGACAGAAAGATTTTCCAATCATTGGTTCACTCAAAATAACCTCAACAGCTGGAGCTGAGCCAGTCAGGAGCTAGGAACTTGTTCTGGGTCTCCCACGTGGGTGCAGGGTACCAAGGCTTTGGGCTGTCCTTGACTGCTTTCCCAGGGCACAAGCAGGGAGCTAGTGGGGAAGTAGAGTAGTGGGATATGAACTGGTACCCATATAGGATCCTGGCACATGAAGGTGAGGACTTTAGCTACTAGGCTACCACACCAGCTTAAGTCTTCCCTTTTTAAGAGCAGAATATGAATAAATTACTGAAGAGGTTGTTGAAGGGGGTTTGTTGTGTTTTCTAAGGATGTTTTGAGATAGTTGATGTTTCAATGAGTTTCAGTATAAGAATTGCTCTTAAGGAAAATTTGAGATAAAAGATCTTTCTCCACAAGAATTAGAAAGATTTCTAATCCAGATTCCTAATTTGCTCTGGTGATGCCACATTGCTATTTTCCATTATTGTGTATAAGCAGGACTGTGTCTAGTTTCATTCAGAAAGATTTGAATGTTGCTCTATTTTATATTGTAGCCCGACAAGCAGTAAAAACACCACCTCGGAGGTTACCCACTGTGATGGTCAGATCTCCTATAGATTCTGCCTCCCCAGGAGGTGACTATCCACTTGGGGACATGACTCCAGCTACTATTGAAGAGGCCACCTCTGGGGTGAGTGTATTTCCATTCTTTGTAATTGATGAAAAAAGGGTTCAAAGCCAGCAGAGAGATGAGTGTTGAGGAAACCACTTTTGACCCTTAGGCAAACTTCCTCTCTTGATTTGAATACAAAAGGTGTAATTTAGCATATTCTTGTGCTCCAAGATAAGGTTGGATCTAAGGACACTGGTTTTGTGAGATAAGTAAAGGACTATAATAATAATTGTTTGCCGAGTGCACTAGGCACATGGCATTCTTGATAAGGGAAAATTTCCTTGTAAATATCGAGAGTGAAGAATTTGTAAAAGGCAGGTCAAATGAAATGGTTCGACCATCTGAGGTTTGAATGGGTGGGTGGAAGCATGAAGGAAGCATGAAGAAGGTGGAAAAGAAACATGGCTGAGAGCAGGAGGGATAGAGGGTTTCTGGGCAATTTCACTTAGGACTAATACAGTTAATAGACACACTAACCCATCCAGATTAGTAGAACCTTCCGTAGTTTGAGAAGTCAGATAAAGGTTCTCTGTTGTCTCTTAGGTAAACCCTGGGACTTTGCCGAGTACCCCAGTCACCTCGTTTCCTGGGATTCCTGACACCCTTCCTCCAGGCTCTGCACCCTTAGAAGCCCCCATGACCCCAGTAACAGATGATTCACCCCAGAAAAAGATGCTTGGACAGAAAGCAACACCACCCCCCTCCCCTCTGCTGTCAGAGCTCTTGAAGAAGGGCAGCCTCCTGCCTACTAGCCCCAGACTGGTATGGAGACTTCTGTGGGTGTTTGAGAGCTGTGGTGATTTAGTACTTGGAAGGGAGTGCCTGAGACCTAAAATATAACATGGAAAAAAAAAGAAGTTCAAAGAGGAAGAGATGTTCTAATTAAATGTTGACTTTAAAAAAAATACAATAAGTTGATAGTGTCCTTGAACCCTGAGGTTTCTGAATCACAATTATTTTGGTTATTGTTATCCAGAGAACTCTTGCAAATAAGTTGTGAATATTAGAGTGTAGAGTTTCCCTTGAATCTTAAGTTATTATCTGTGGATATTAAGTTTTAGTTTACATAAAAGTTTGGTTGACTGCTGGAGCTTGTTTTTGGGAAATAGTAGTAAAGGAAAGATTGAAGATAGCCTTCACCTCTATTCTTCCCTGGTAGGTCAATGAGAGTGAAATGGCTGTGGCTTCTGGCCATCTGAACAGTGCAGGTGTTCTCCTGGAGGTAGGCGGGGTCCTTCCCATGATGCATGGTGGGGAGATACAGCAAACACCCAATACTGTTGCATCGTCCCCTGCTGCCTCAGGTAAGTCACTTTTCCTGTACTCCTAAGATGCTGTACTTGACATTGCCTGTCCGTGATTTTAGAGTTCATTGCTAAACTGTTACCTGTTTAGATTTAGAAGTTCAAGTAAGATTTAGAAGTTCAGATACTTTCTGTAACCTTTTTTAAAACTACCTGTTAAAAGCAGCATAAGCATAAATTCATGCCATCTTCAAAATATTCACAGCACTGATTGACCATAGCACACATATTGACAAAAATCATAGTGAAACTACTTTTGTGTGGTTTGTAAAATTGTGGAAAGACTGTAGGTATACCAAAAGCTATAGAGTAGGAAAAAGAAATTGAGGGCCGATGAACTGGGCTTGAATTTTAGGTCTGCCACACATGGGTTTTATGACCTTGGATGTACAACTATGAAGCCTTAATTACCTCTTTTACTAAAGGTAATCTATGTGTTTCATAAACATGTGGTAAGAATTAGGTGAGATAGTGAATGTAAAGCCAACTTCTTTAGGAAATACCAGATAGATGTAATGATGGGGTTGACAGCCTGTTGAATGAACAGATTTATCCATATGTTTTTTGTCTTTGTTTTTGAAGATTTTTTCACATTCATCTGAAGAAAAATTGCCATCATTTTTTCTGGGCATTGTGTGTTCTAGTACTTTGGTTCATTCTTACTTAGGAGCAAGGTCTTGAAGTGAAGTTAGGACAAGTAAGGAAATGGATAATTAGCTTATTCACAGGAGTTGGCTTTCATTTTTTGAGACTAAAATTTTTCTTTGTTGTATCTTACAGTGGCTATCTTATTCACATGCTTACTTGTTGATATCATTTTGTGTACCTCTTTGTTAGGTGCTCCCACTCTTTCCCGGCTTTTAGAAGCTGGGCCTACCCAGTTTACCACACCTCTTGCTTCCTTCACTACTGTTGCCAGTGAGCCTCCAGTTAAACTTGTGCCACCCCCTGTAGAATCCGTGTCCCAGGCTACCATTGTCATGATGCCTGCGCTGCCAGCACCATCCTCTGCTCCGGCTGTCTCCACTCCTGACAGTGTAGCTCCAGGTGCGTCCTTGACCCACACCCTGAGCAACCACTAGGTCCGAATTGTTATCTTGAACTTCAGTTAGAGAAAGATGGCCAACAGCATCAACTCCATTCAGATGCATCTGTTCTTTTCTCCATAGATGTGTGCTATCCTTGGCCTTAGAAAATCAAGAATGTGAGAAGAGCTAGGTGGGCGTAGAAGCATTTGGGGGAGGGAAGGCTAAGTACACAAATATGAGCAGGCTTGGGAATATATTTTCACCTTACCTTCTAAATAGAACTGGGAGGAGAAAACCATAGGCAGTTGCACCTTTGTCTCGCTATACTGTGTGGGTTTCTTAACATCTGTCTACAGTTTTGGTGTAATAACTGGGTGTCACTTGGTAACCAAAAAGCTTCTAAGATACCTTTTTTTCTCTTTGTGTTATTCAGTGAGTCAGCCTGATACCTGTGTTCCTATGGAGACTGTGGGAGATCCACATACTGTGACTGTTTCCATGGATAGCAACGAAATCTCTATGATTATTAATTCCATCAAAGAAGAGTGCTTCCGATCAGGGGTAGCAGAGGCCTCTGGCGGATCAAAACCTCCCAGCATTGATGGGAAGGAAGATTTAGATCTGGCTGAGAAAATGGATATTGCTGTGTCTTACACAGGTGAAGAGCTAGACTTTGAGACTGTTGGAGACATCATTGCCATCATTGAGGACAAGGTAACTATTCAGCAAGGCCCTAGAGAGTCTCTCATGGGTCCTACATAGGCCACTCTTCTCTGCCTCTCTTAGTAACAGTTACTTAACAATTCTCCTTCTGCCCACCTCCATTTCTGTATTCCACAACTCCTTTGGTGCTGACATACTAGTCATCCTCCCCAGCCATTCCTGTGTTACTGGTTTGCATAAGACAGGTGCGTGTCCACTGATTGATTCCACTACATGGAGAAGATGGAGAGAGAAGCTGCAGATTCAGGCCATCTCATTCAGTGCTAACAAAATTAAGGGACTTGGGCTTCTTTCTGTGACCTCAACAGTCTGTGTATTGTGGGACAGGTAGATGATCATCCTGAAGTACTGGATGTGGCAGCAGTGGAAGCAGCACTGTCATTCTGTGAAGAGAATGATGATCCCCAGTCCCTGCCTGGCCCCTGGGAGCATCCTATTCAGCAGGAACGGGACAAACCAGGACCTCTCCCTGCACCAGAAATGACGGTTAAGCAAGAGAGGTTGGACTTTGAGGAAACAGAAAACAAGGGAATCCATGAACTGGTGGACATGAGGGAACCCAGTGTTGAGATCAAGGTGGAACCTGCCGAACCAGATCCAGGCATTTCAGGGTCTGAAATAGCTGGAGTTGTCCCAGCCCCAAGTATGGAACCACCAGAACTCAGGAGTCAGGATTTAGATGAAGAACCCAGGAGTATTGCAACTGGAGAGATTGCTGAAGCAGATGTTTCCAGCGGGAAAAGCGATGAGACCGCACTTACTACTGTGAAGACAGAGGTATTCAATAAGATTGAGGGTTGGGAGGATGGAGAGTTGTGCTATAGGAAAAAAGTAACCACTTAGGCTTTTGGTTTTCCTATTGCATTCCTGAGTTCTGACATTGTTTGATGCTATTCTATATAAAATTGTCATAGTCCTACTTAAGGTGACCTTTAGACTCATTCTATGAGAAGGACTTGGAATTTCCTTTATAAAGGTTCATTATTGAAAAATGAAATTGTTTTACCAGTACTCTCTTATTTATTTTATTTGTATTTATTTATTTATTTTTTGATCTTCAGGCATCCCCCGAAAGTATGTTGTCTCCCTCACATGGCTCAAATCCCAATGAAGATCCCTTAGAGCCAGAGTCCCAGCACAAGTTTGAAATGTCAGGTAAATAAAGGCCAGGACATCTGTACTCTGTAACTAACTTAAAATCATTTGCTTTTGGCTTCTAAGGGATTGTGGGTTGTGGGCAAGTACAGGAAGTAGAATAGGTCAGCATGGAAAGGAGAGCTGCAGGCGATTACGGTCCATAGTAGGGGAAGGCTGAGGTGGAAAAAATCTTCAGGTAGTCTTTCTCTCCTCTGCAGACTCATTGAAAGAAGAATCAGGGGCTATTTTTGGAAGCCAGATAAAGGTATTTCAGACTTTTCTTTATTCCTCTTGCCATGTCATTAGATTTCCCTATAGCACTCCCTTTGATTAATTGAATTTCAGTAAACTCACATCTTTATTCTCTGAGATGAGACTGGTAAGGAGTTGCATGGGGACAACCTCTAGTGGACAGCCAGGCGTATGGGAGTACGCCTAATGTCTAATAACTGAGTGTGCTTCCTTTCTGAAAATCACACAGTCCTTTTCTTCGCAAATAGTATACAAAGAAGCTTTGTATCTGGAGTGATTTGGAGTGAATAGGAATATTAGAGCCAGGAAGAACTTCTAGGAAACCGAATTTTTTTAGACTGTTCAAAGAGAATCATCCAGAGTTTACTAGCACAATAATAAAAGAAATATGAAGTAATGCGATGTGAGCTTGCTCCATCAAATGAGACACAAAATAAAAACTATTTTTGGTAACTTTGTACCCAGGATCAGAGTTCCTCTCAAGAGCAAGGGGAAAGAAGGAACGCCTCTTAGCTTAGTCTTAAGTAAGTAGCTTTTTTTTTTTTCTCTCTTCCTTAAAAAGATCCTGGATCTTACTCTTTGTCCAGGTTCTGAATTAATTTAGTCAGTGTCTTTTAGGTAGAGGGTAGTGTAAGTGATAGAGGGATCAGTCAAGATAGTGAGGCCATAGAGTTGATCTAACCCAAAAGACAGACTGTTTAATGATGCTTTGCTGAATAGCTTTGCTTGCATTTGTTGACTGGTACACACTGTGTCTAAGGATGCCCCAGGTGAGGATGAGGAAGAAGATGGGGTCAGTGAAGCAGCCAGCCTAGAGGAGCCTAAGGAAGAAGATCAAGGAGAAGGCTATTTGTCAGAAATGGATAATGAACCCCCTGTGAGCGAGAGTGATGATGGCTTTAGCATACACAACGCTGCACTGCAGTCACATGCACTGGCAGACTCCATCCCAAGCAGCCCTGCTTCTTCACAGTTGTGAGTATCTAAAATTGTTTAGATGGTGGTAAAGGTGAGAGGAGAAAATATTTACTTTGAAAATTTTTGTATTATTTATTTGAAAAGCAGAGTTATGGAGACAGGCATAAGGATCTTTGGTATGCTATTTCACTTCCCACATGGCTACAAGCATAGCTGGACCAGGTTCTGTGTCATTACAGGAGCCCAAATACTTAGACCCTCCACTGCTTCATCAGACACATTACCAGTGATCTGGATCAGAATTGGCTCCCATATCAGATGCCAGCATTGCAGGCATGGCTTTATTGGCTATGCCACATGTCAGCCCCATTTAATCTGTCACCTTTCTATTGGCCTAAGACAAGCTGATGACAAGAAATAATTGGACCTTTTTGTTACTTGTGCCTACCATCTGTCTCTATTTCAGTTCTGTCTGTAGTGAGGATCAAGAAGCTATTCAGGCACAGAAAATATGGAAGAAAGCCATCATGCTTGTATGGAGAGCTGCAGCTAATCATAGGTGAGTGGGCTGCACTTCATTAGTAGGTTTTTTTTTTCTGATCCTCCTCTTTATAAATGATGAGATGAAGGCTTCTGTGGAACTGTTGGTGTTGACTCTATTTGTCTTGAACTGCTTGGTCTAAGTTTGTTACCATGTGTCCCTGCCTAGTAATTCCATGTTACTGTTTTTTTGAACAGATATGCCAATGTCTTCTTGCAGCCTGTTACAGATGACATAGCACCTGGCTACCACAGCATTGTGCAGAGGTAACACATGTTCCATACTTCTCACTGACACCCCTGAGTTATAGATTTTCCAGTCTTACTGATAACTTTAAATAATAATAAGTAGGTGTATGTTGTGATATTTAAAAAGATTTTTTTTTTATTTGAAAGAGAGAGACCTTCCATCTGCTGGTTCATTCCCCAAATAGCTATAATGGCTGGAAATGAACTGATCCAAAGCCAGGAACCAGGAGCTTCTTCCTGTCTTTCCCCACTGGGCCATAGACCCCAGCATTTGGGTCATCCTCCACTGCTTTCCCAGGCCATTCACAAGGAGCTGGATTGGGAGTGGAGCAGCCAGGACCCATATGGGATCTGAGTTATTATACATCATAGCACTCTTAAGCATCAATATTAATGCCATACTGAAATTCAGCTGTACTGTAAATCAATCCATTTTTGACACCCATAGGGGATGTTGGCTCTACAGGCAGGGGCTTAACTTGTTATACCATGGCACTGGTCCTGTGGTACACTCGAGATACTCATATACCGTGTTGCCCCTACAACACGAGTTTGAGTTCTACTCTTCCACTTCCATTTAAACTTAACTGCTAATACACCAGGGAGGCAGTGGATGGTGACCCAAGTACATGTGTTCCTGCCATCCATGTAGGAGACATAGACAGTTCCTTGTTCCTAGAATTGTCCTGGCCTACCACTGGCTGTTTTTGGCATCTCAGGAGTAAATCAGTGTAGGTGGAAGATGTCTTTCTTTGTCTATGTTGTTTTGGTTTTTTTGTTAGTTTGTTTCAAATCTTTGAAATATATATATGCTTAAAGTATAATATTTTCGATGTAAGAGTGACTAAATATTAAACTGATTGTTTCAGTGACTGGATCACTACCAATAGTCTAATAAAAGAATTAACTTCCTTATGATCTTTTTAGAGGTTGTTTATTGACTTACTGTGTTAAGCACATATTTTGGGGGGAGGTAAGTTTTAGCATTTGAGTCCCAGCAGCTAATAAAGTATGTTTGAAAGCGTTAATCATGTATTAATAATCATTTATGCAGAGAATCAGGTGAGTACTCTGCTTCTTCCCCTGTTCTCTTTTAGGCCTATGGATTTGTCAACTATTAAGAAAAACATTGAAAATGGACTGATTCGTAGCACAGCTGAATTTCAGCGTGACATTATGCTGATGTTTCAGAATGCTGTGATGTACAATAGTTCAGACCATGATGTATATCACATGGCAGTAGAGATGCAGCGAGATGTCTTGGAACAGATCCAGGTACTTAAGCATCTTTGTGTTTCAGGAAGGATGAAGTGAAAATATTCAAGGGAAGGTATCCATATTGATAACAAAGTGCCATCAGGCATAGAAACATAATATTTTGATTCATGTTGAACTTGTATTGACTTTTCCTGGCTTGATGGGAGAGCTATGGCAGAGTATCTTTTTTTGGGCAGAAGTATTTAAATCTTCTGTAAACAGTAAATACATGTTTTTTAATTATGCAAAGTACCGGTACATAACTAATATTCAGCAAAGAATTTTTTCTCCCTTTCTCTTAATGTTTGTTTATTTGAAAGTATTTGAAAGGCACGATGACAGAGAGGTTTTACTTATGCTGATTTACTCCCCAAAGGCAGTAATGGCAAAGATTAGACCAGACCAAATCCAGGAGCTTAGAACTTGATCTTGAGTCTCTTAAGTGGGTGGCAGGGACTCAAATACTTGGACCATCCTCTGCTACCCTCCCAGGCACATGAATAGACAACTGGATCAAAAATACAGCCACTGGGACCTGATTTGGCAATCAGAGCTAGACCAGGCTGAAGCCAGGAGCTTCTTCCTGAACTCTGACTTGCATGCTGGGGCCCAAGCACTTGTACCTTCTGCTGCTGCATTTCCAGGCATATTAGCAGGGAGCTGGACTTGAATTGAAGCAGCTGGGTCTCAAACTGGTGCTCATATCATGCTCCGGCCAGTAGAGCCAGTAACGTGGACACGGAGAGGGTCTGGGGATGAAGCACCGAGAGGAGACCAGTGATGGCGGAAGTCTCTGCGAAGTCTCGCTCTATTGCTCCTTCACCTCTCCTTATTTAGCAGGGTATTGGATACAGATAAGTCCGATCAGTAGGTGTTTTTAGCCACAAGCCCAGTTCCTGTTCCAGGCCAAGGAGCACTAATCAACTCCTTAGCCTACAACAATATCGGATCCCAGTGCTGTAAGCATTGACTTTGCCCACTCATTACACCATCTTGCTGACCCCAATAATAGACTTGTAGTTGAAATGCCAGACTCTCTTTGGGCTGTTGAACCTATAGAGTGTGAAATTACTAAATTGCTAATCTTAATTCATCCTGTTCTTATTCTTGAAAGATTTTGCTTATTTAGGCTGCACTGTAACAAAAAATAGGGCCAGCCCCATGACTTAATAGACTAATCTTCCACCTTCAAGCACCAGCATCCCATTTGGATTATAGTTTGCTGTCCCACCTGCTCCACTTCCCATCCAGTTCCCTGCTTGTGGCCTGGGAAAACAACAGAGGATGTCTCAAGTCCTTGGGTCTCTGCACACATGTAGGGGACCCTAAAGAAGCTCCAGGCTACTGGCTTTGAATTGGCTCAGCTCTGGTTATTGCAGCTACTGGGGGAGTTAACTAGCAGAAGGAAGATTATCTCAGTACATCTGCCTTTCCAGTAAAATAAGTCTTTAAAGGGTCTTTTTGGCATTTCTGATTCTTGAGAATGCTTGTTAAAAATGTGATTAATGTTTTATATTTAATTTTTAAATCTTAATATGCTAAACTTCCAGTGATTCAAAGTATTTGATTAGAAAGGTCCTGTTTACAATGCCTGAGGTGTTGTAATTTTTTTTCTACTGAATCAAGTCTGTATGACCAACTCTTGTTTATTTCCCTGTAGCAATTCTTGGCTACACAGCTGATTATGCAAACATCTGAGTCTGGTATCAGTGCTAAAAGTCTTCGAGGGAGAGATTCTACCCGCAAACAGGATGCTTCAGAGAAGGTGAGGAAATAAGGAACAGCCTCGCTGTGCTGGGAGTCTGAAGCATTGAGGGAACTTTTTACCAGTATTCCTAAGCTTCTACCTTCAAGTAGTAGAAAACATACAGATCTTACAGTGCTGGCTTTTACCCCCATTTAACACTAAACACTGAAAAAACTGTGACTATGAGACCTGGGAGAAATTGTGAGCTGAGTGAACTACTAATTCCTCTGGGAGAGGGTCACAAAGGTGGAGGAGATGACAGCTTGCAGCATTTGGGGAGCAACAGTTTCTCTGCAAAGACTTATTGGGTAGAATGTGATGGGATCTCTCTCCTTTTTGTCCCTAAGTTTTTAAAATTTTGTCTTTGCATATATGGTGCTTGTGTCTCTGTCCTGAGGTTTGGGTGCTTGTGGCTCAGAGATTCTGTGGAATCTGATCAGTGTTTGTTTGTCCTCTAACAGGACAGTGTCCCCATGGGCTCTCCTGCCTTCCTTCTCTCTCTCTTTGTAAGTATTGAATGGCTGCAAGGAGTGCTGTTGCCAGAAAGTTTCAGCTCCTGCTTGGGATGGGTGGCAGAAGGAAATCCAATATGCAGACTATTGCAATGTCTTGAAGTTTTGTTTATTCAAATCATTGAATAAGAAAACGTCTTTTCTGCATTGCTGTCTTTCTCCATGTGTGTTGGGAGTGGGGTGTTGAGTAGAATTGTTAACATTCAGGTAATCTAGGAAGCATCCGCTCCTCGTTTCTTTACTACACCTTTTATCAAATCTTACAAATAGGTTGTGCAGAGCCTCGGCTGTTAACATGGCTCTATGTTGGTATTCCTCATACAGGCAAAAACATGGCACATAGGTTTTTTTTGTTTTCTCCTAAAATTAGGTTGAAGGACTGATTCCTGATAAGCAAACGCTATGAGTAAATTACAAGTTACAGATTTGCGTAAGAGTGACAGCTCTATTCTGTAGTGACTGGTGGAATTACGTGTAAGCTTATAGAGCTAGTCATAAGAATTTTACTTTTTTTCCTCCATCAATTAAATGATTGTATATCTGTTTATTCATTATGGAGCAATGCAGCATAATATAATGGAAGAGGAGCATCAGGCTAGAAAACTATCTGGTTTAAATATAATCAAGTAATCTTTTGGGACCTTATTTTCCTTCTGTGTGATGGAGCTAATAATGAGGTACCTCTCCAGGCTACTTCAATAGAATATTGTGAGGCTCAAATGAGATATAGGTATGACACTGGCTTGGAAAAAATGAAGTGTTACATGAATGCAAGGGGGTATTTTGATTGTTTCTGTTGCCGTATAGGCAACTCATGTTGACAAAACTAAAAATTTTAGAGTCCTTGCATATTAAAATTGTCAAAATGGTCTGGCCCAATATAAGTGTTCACTAGTTTGTCTTGCCTACAGGCCTCTCAGCCTGTACAACATACAGAACACTATAATCTCTGTTTTCTTATTGGCGTGCAACAGTGACTCTGGATTCCCAAGCAATTGGCTGGCTATTACAAGGCCAGTTAATAGGATCTTTTATCTGATGAAGACAGCAAAATATTGCACAAGAGGAAGGAGCTGGACTGCAGGGAAAGAGCAGCAAATGGAAAGAAGCTTCTGATTATCCTGATCTCATGGAAAACAACTGTCAGGAGGTGCTAGGGAACTAGTGCCAGGGTCAGTCTGCAGGAAAGGCCTTTCTTTTAGGGACCAGCAGCTGGACAGGTATGTTAGCCAAGAACCTCACTATCCGCTGCCCTTTCTGACTTTCCCATCTTTTACTCTTCCTGTTTGTTTGCACATCTTTTGGGCCTGGGCGGGATGACTAACTTCTAGTCACTCTGTGGGTCCCCAGGTGAATTTCAAGGACCTCTTTGGTGGGCATAAGCAGGATACTCTCCTGCATTTTCTCTTCCAAACTACCAGGTGTTCTTTAGGCACTCTGTGGGAAGACAGAAATATGCCCTTCATAACTTTGGATTTTTCTGCTGATTCTTTCCCTTTTACCCAAAGAGACCATCCCCACCATTCCTGTTGTACTTTCTCTCTTATTGCTTAATCAGCTCACTCATACTCCACTTTTTTTTCTTTTGCTATCATGTAGGATGGAGGAACAAGGGGACGCCGCTGTGCCATTGAAGCAGATATGAAGATGAAAAAGTGAAGTCTCAAAAGTGTCCTCTTTGTTGAGGTGACCCTGAAAGGAAAGTAAACAAGATGAAGCTTGGGCTTGTGGGCCCTGTTCCAGAAGTGAAAGTTACGGAAGAGGAGTACCTGGGCCACGTGACAAGCTGGGAAATCTCTCTCAGAGAGTTGAAGAAGCACAATTGTCTGTTTTAGGGCAAAAATCATGGGCTGTGTTAATGTCCTATTGTGTAGCTAACGGATGTAGCTAGTTTGTACTGTCTTGTGAAGTGTACAGATTTTTTAAGAATGAATCTTTGAAGTGTATGTGTATACAATAAACAGAAAGAAAACACTAGCCTTTGGTGTACTCTGTGTGTTATGTATATTTGAAGCTTCTGGTTTGTTCCTGTATTTCATAATTTTTGGAAATTTAGTAAAGGGGACAAATGGCTTGATAATAAATTGCCTGCAAAGAGACAGTAAATAAACAGTTGAATTTATGATCAGTGTCTTGTGGTATTGCATTGTTTAGTAAGGACCTGGTTATTCAAATTTCAAGTGTTTGTAAACGTGGTTTTTAGAGTTATATTCATGGCATTTTTAAAAAGGCTTGAAAATGCTACATTAACTTTTTTCATGAACATTTGTCCTTTCAGACTATTTTACAAATTGTATTTCTAAGATAAGATTTTATAATTTTTTTGCTTTCTGTGGATAGGGCTCTTGTGTATAGAGTTAATACTGCTTTTGAGGGCTAACATCAGTTTTAAGAATTGGCAGGAATAGTTCTATTTCAACTTCTGTTACTAAGTAAAAAATTTTAACTATTAGTGAAATGAACTAGTTAATGAGTTAAAGAGGTCATCATTAATAGGCTGTTGTCTAGAGCTTTATGCCTTGTTAAGCAATAAGAGTTTAAGAGGAACCTGGTAAAGTCATTTGTTAGCGATCTCTGAAAGTAGGAAATGATAACCCTGTGAGTCAGTCCAACACAGAATGAAATATTTACAGTATTTCGCTCCCAAAGCAGTACACAAGCAAATTGGTAAATACACTGAAGCATTGCAAGTTGTAGGTTTGTGGGGAAAGTCCCCTGGAAGGACATAGGTGCTAAGACAAACGGATGTTCTTTAGCAGGATGAGTTGATAGTGTAGAACATCTGTAAGGAGACAGATGTTACCAGGGATCATACTAAGAATAGGTATGTTGTACCATCAAAAGGACTTAATAGAACTAGCTAGGGAGGATTTAGACTAAAATGTTTGAGATAATAGGTGTTTTAAGCCTTGAGACACATTTTGGGAAGTAGGTTGGGTTAAAGTAAGGGAAACTAATCAGGAGACTGATATTTTCTCAGAAACAGGATAGGGACTAAACTAGTGAAAAGAAGGCTTATTATAGTAATAAGAAATTGTGAGTTCTGTAGGCTAGGAAAGTGGTGATGGTTGGACCAAAGAAGTTGGGAAGAGCAGATAATGCTGAGTTGAAGGAGATGGTAGGATTTCTAAAAGGGAATTAGCTTTTGAATGCATGTAAGAATGAGAATGCATGAAAAGATTTGGGAGGACAAAGTTGAAACCTCAGATAATTAAAAATATATATATTTAAGGAAACAACCAAAACAGTCATATTCACAGAGGTCACAGTTTAAACTTTTAAAATGCAGTTTGTTTTTTTTTTAAGGATGTGTTAAGATTAGGCAAGAAAACAAGACAGTTTATTGAAAAAAAGGAAAAGTTGTAAAAAAATAGTTAGGAAAGCAAGATTTTTAAACAACGTTTTTGCTCTCATTCTGAGAAGTGACAATTGCATCTGACCATAGGGATACCAAAAGTAATGTCGAAAGTATTTTGAAATGAACGATCAATAGCTCAAAACAAAAATCTGTTGTGCCTCAAATTTATTATCTTGCATTTGAGTTTATGTATGATTTAAGGGTTGATAAGCTAGCTATACCCCAACTCTTTCCCTTTTGGAGCATGAGTTAAATCAGGTAAAACTAATTCCTGGGTAATTTCTTTGTTGTACTAAATTGTACACTGTAATACCTGCATTCTATTGAAATGGAACTTTTTTCTTTTGTTCCTAAAGGTAAACCATATCATCTCCCAGCATTTCCTTCAGCTAATTTTTATACTTTCTGATAATGAAAGAAATGACTAGACTTTACTGAACTTAGGTGAAGATCCCTGTAAATATTGATTTGAATAATGCTTCCCCCTCCCCCCCCCCATGTATTTACAGATGAAACATGAGTGGTTTTGGTTGGAATCTGTACAAGAGTATCAAAGTGACACTGATTTGAGCAACTACTGCAGGTCCCTCATCAGCACGTGGAACTCCAGTCTAGGTCTTGATGTGGGCAACTGGAGGAAAACTGAGGAACTCGAAGAAAGCAGCCCAAGGAGAGAACCTAGTGAGCTGCTTGTGGGGGATGAAGGCAGTGAGGAGTATCAGGACGAGGCAGAGCAAGTCAACCGCCAGAACCTCCTCCATTTTCTCTCTGAGGTAACGGGGAACTGTGAACTTGAAAGAGTTATACTTTCTAACATAATGCTTGCCTTTACATATTTCTAGCATTCTTAGTATTCTTAGCCTCACAGTGACAGGCTAGGTATAATGGTGTATCTTGCAACACTTGATGCTGATAAAGAATATGCACCAAATAATTTTTTTTTCTTTCTAATATATGTGTCGATTTGAAAGGCAAAGTGACTGACAATGGGAGAGAGAGATCTCTACCCACTGGTTCACTCCCTAAATGGCCACAAAAATCTAAATTAAGGCCATACAGAAGCCAGACAGCAGCCTTCCCATGAAGTTAGCAGGAAGCTATGTTGAAAGTGGAACAGCCAGAAAAGTAGAATCAGCACTCCAATATGGGATGCTGGCCTTGCAACTGAAACCGTTCTGTGCCACAACAGCAGATCCCAAATACACTTTTTGACTGAATGTTTCAAGATCTGAGTCATTACGGGCCTAATTACCAGATAGAACTAGAATCCCAATATATAGGATTGCCCTAGGAGCATCTTCACAATTTAAAGTCATGGCAGATGAATCTTACGTGAACACTACTTAAAATTTTTTTTTTCTTAAAGGTTTATTTATTTTGAAAGAATGACTGAGGTTCACTCTGAAAATGGGCACAGTGTCCAAGGTGGGGGCAGGCTGAAGCCAGGAGGTCCTTTCATGTCTCCCATGTGGTTGCAGGGGCCCAAATATTTGATCCATCTTCCACTGCTCTATCAGGCAGATTAGCAGGGAGCTGGATTGGAAGTGGTGCTACCAGAATTCCAAATGGCTCCTACACTGGATGCTGGCATTGCAACCAGCAGCTAAATCTGCTGCTGCAATCCTGACCCCCTCCTTGAAGTTTAAATGTGGTAACTTTAAGATAATATTTTGAATATTTCCTTGCTGGGACTATCACAATGGTTTAACTAGTTAATCCTCCACTTCCAAGTGCCAGCATCGCATTTGGACACTGGTTTGTGTTTCAGTTGCTCTGTTTCCAATGCAGCTCCCTGCTTACGGCCTGGGAAAGCACTTGAGGATGACCCAAAGCCTTGGGACCTTGTACTTACATGGAAGATCCAGAAGGAGCTTCTGGTTCCTGGCTTTGGATTGACTCAGCTGTGACTATTGTGGCCATCTGAGGAGTGAATCAGCAGATGGAACATTTTTCTCTTTCCTCTCTGTAAATCTGCCTTTCCAATAAAAATAAATAAATCTTTAAAGTTTAATTGCCCTGGTGACCAGAAATAAACAGAATTGGATGATTTGTGTTTTTGCTGCAACTGGACACATTAAGAAGTTAGGTCAGGATTTGCAGGTATTGGAGTTCAGTTGTTGCTACTTCTCTCTTAAGTGTGGTTCAAAATTATCAACACTAGGCCCAGCACAATGTGCCAGGATCCCATATGGGTACCAGTTCATATCATGGCTGCTCAACTTTATTTCCAGCTCCTTGCTTATGGCTTAGGAAAGCAGTAGAGGATGGCCCCCAAAGCCATCTGTGTAGGAGATCTGGAAGGAGCTCAGCTCAGCTGTGTCTGTTGTGGCCACGTGGGAAGTGAACCAGTGGATGGAAGATCTCTGTCCTCTCTGTAAATCTGACTCCAATAAAAATAAATAAATCTTTAAAACAAATTGTCAGCACTTTCCCTGGACAGCCAGTCTGGTTGATAACTCAGATCAACTGCCAAAAAATAGGATCCTAGGAGAAAACCATACCTGTTCACTGTTGTATTTTCAACAATTAGTGTGTGCTTATGTCTGTGAGATACGTCATGAACTATAAATGACTGGATTAAGTAAGCCCATTTGCAGTCTCAGACTTGACACTATAAGCATATGGCATTATTTTTAGATGTTGATTCCCCTTGGTGTTTCTGTGCATCTCACAACTAACTTGGATTGCAGGTAGCTTATTTAATGGAGCCATTGTGCATTAGCAGCAAAGAATCGAGTGAAGGCTGCTGCCTTCCATCTGGAACCAGGCAACAGGAAGAAAGGAAAATTGAAGCTACTAAAGAAAGGAAGTGCTGCAGACAGTTTGAACAACTGTTAGCTGATGTAGACCCCTTAGAAGCTGAAAAATCGCTACTGAGAGCAAACGGAAAGCCAAAGGTAGGTAGCTCCAGCTACTTCTGATGCTTTTTCAGTTCAGGGACTAACCTCAGAGAGTGAGGAGGTAAGGGAATAACGTAAATCAGCTGTCTGCACAAGGTGGTATATAGGCAAATTCCAGAGACCATACCTGGATCCAAATTGTTTTAATGTTAATTTGTTTTTATTGGAAGGCCAGATAACTATAGATAGGAGGAAAGACAGAGGAAGATCTTCTGTCGCTGATTCACTTCCCAAATAGCCGCAAACAGCCAGAGCTGAGCTGACCTGAAGCCAGGAGCCTGGAGCTTTTTCCGTGTCTCCCACATGGGTGCAGGGTCCCAAGGCTTTGAGCTGTCCGTGACTGCTTTCCCAGGCCACAGGCAGGGAGCTGGATGGGAAGCAGGGCCACCGAGGTTAGAACTGGTGCATACGTGGGATCCTGGGTGCGTGCAAGGTGAGAACTTTAGCCACAGGCTACCATGCCAGGTCCCAAATTATGGTTTTAGCACCAGTTTTAGTTGTGTCCTAAAGAATATTACCAGACATTTTAGAACCTTAGTTTTTTCCTTATGTTTGCTGTGTGGTTTAAGGCAATTAGAACAGAGCTTGGCTTAAAATACTCGGTGAAGGGCCCAGCGTGGTGGCCTAGTAGCCGAAGTGCTTGCATTCCATGTGCTGGGATCCCATATGGGCACCAGTTCATATCCTGGCTGCTGTACTTCCCTTCCAGCTCCCTCTTTGAGGCCTGGGAATGCAGTCGAGGATGGTCTTGGGACCCTGCACCCATGTGGGAGGCCCTGAAGCAGCTCCTGGCTCTTAGCTTTGAGTCAGCTCAGCTCCAGCTTTTGCAGCCACTTGGGGAGTGAATCAACAGACAGAAAATCTTCCTCTCTGTCTTGCCTTCTCTCTGTATAACTGACTTTCCAATAAAAATAAATAAATCTTTAAATAGATCTTTAAAAATATAGTAAAATTTAGAATACTGTTGTTTCCACTAATATTTGGCCAGGTGAAGCAGATAACTTGAGGAGCAAAGGTGATAATGAGTGCTTTTAAGGGGTGTGATGTGCAACTAGAATTGTCTATGTATTGGTTTTCATTCTGAGGGAGTAGGAATGAGGGGAAGAGTCATATTTTCCCCTCAGTACCAGCAAGATTGGTGTTAATAATTCATTGACCTGGGTCTAAAAATCAGCTGCTGCGATTTCTACTATAGCTTCACATAATTGTCTTCCTCTCATCTTAATGTTGACCTTTTCTCCAGGAAAAATACTGTGCTGATAGCAAATAATGTCTAACATCTTTTGTGTTTCCTGGCAATCTCAGGAGGAGTCACAAGAATCCAAAGAGGAGGACCAGGGTGAAGGGTACGGGTCAGAGATGGAAGAGTCCCCTTTAGGTGAGTGTGAAGATGGCTGCAGCCTTCAAGGGAGTCCTCTGGTGGATATTCTTCTCAGCCACACAGCCTCCTCAAATCTGTAAGTATAGATTTGTATCCAAAGTTGTCAAGGTCGATAATTTTATTTCTGTTTATACCTTTTGCGATATTGTTACCACGAAATGTAAGTTTTAAAAACATAAAAATAGTTGGAAAACACTAAAATACACTTAAGTGGAATTTTTAAAAAGACCTATGTATTTGAAAGAGTTACAGAGAAGAGAAAAAAATCTTCCATTCATTGATTTATTTAGCAAATGGCTACAATAGTCTGGGGCAGGGCTCTCATGTGGGTGGCAGGATCCCAATTAGTTGGGCCCTCTTCCACAGCCTTCCCAGGCCTATCAGCGGGGATTTGTATGAGAAGTGGAGCAGCTGGACTCGAGTTAGCACCCTGATACTGGATACTGGAGTTGCAGGCAGCAGCTGAACTTGTTGTGCCACAGTGCCAATTTCAAACCTTTCACCAACATTTAGAATCTCTGCGCCTGGCATGATAGCTTAGTGGCTAAAGTCCTTGCCTTGTGCATGCTAGATCCCATATGGGTGCTGGTTTGTGTCTTGGCGGCCCTGCTTCCCATCCAGCTCCCTGCTTGAGGCCTGGGAAAGCAGTGGAGGATGGTCCAAAGCCTTGGGACCCTGCACCCACACAAGAGACCTGGAAGAAGCTCCAGGCTCCTGGCTTCAGATCGGCTCAGCTTTGGCTCGTTACAGCCACTTGGGGCCTGAGTCATTGGACGAAGATCTTCCTCTCTACCTCTCCTCCTCTCTGTATATCTGACTTTGCAATAAAAAGAAATATATCTTTTTAAAAATCTCTTTCGCATGAGGCAGATGTTTACAGTTATGTACTCCGCTCTGACCCTTGACTTCAGCCTCATGCTATTGTAGAGCCTAGGAGGAACAGTGGTGGTTACAATTAGTTGCACTCTGCAGCCCTTGTGGGAAGTCTTGACTGAGTCCCTGCCTCCTGCCCTGCCTCCTGGTGTTGGCATTTTAGTAGTGAACCAGCAGATGGAAGCTTGCTCTCTGTCTCTTCCTCACTGCCTTTGTGCTTCTCTAATTAATTTTTGTTTTTATAAAGATTTATTTATTTTGGAGGTCAGCACCATGGCTAATCCTCCACCCGGGTGGCACCAGCATTCATTATGGAGACTATTTCATAGTTAGGCACCCACACCCACATGGCATACCTGGGTGAAGTGTAGGCTCCCAGCTTCAGCCTTCCCCTCCAAAGCCATTTTGGAGTGAATGAACCAGAATGTTGGGATATTTTTCTGTCTCCTTCTTTCCCTCCCTCTTCTTGCCTTTCAAATAAATAAAAAATAAGTAAATCTTGATTCATAATAAAAAATGAGAATGTGGGGAGAAACCCATTTAGAAAGTATAAAGTAGCAAGTATAACATGATATTTAACTATGCAGTAACTAGAAAACTTGCCAAATATAAATATTGTATTGATTATAAAAAAGAAACAAATATTGGACTGAAATATCTTTGAAAAAGGCTAAGTAAATTACTTCATCTCAAGGAAAGTAATTTGGAAGGAACGGAGGGAAAAACTAGGAAAGGAAAGCAGGAAGGCCACTGAGGAAAATGAAATTTTCTTAGGTATCTTAAAGATTACTATGTGGAAGAAAGTGAAAAGAAAAAACAATGTACAGTCTTCAGATGAAACAGAGAATTCTTTGGTATGTAAACCACATTTTCTTCTCTGTAAATATGAGCAGGATACTTATCAATGTGGCATGTTTCTGTACAAAAAACAGGGCCAGGGCCCGGCACAGTGGCCTAGTGGCTAAATTCTCTTCTTTGTGTCAGGATCCCATATGAGTGCCAGTTTGTGTCCTGGCTGCTCCACTTCCCACTCAGCTCTCTGCTGATGGCCAGATAAAGCAGTGGAGCATGGCCTGAACCCTTGGGATCCCGCACCCATGTAGGAGAAAAGAAAGCTGGTTCCTGGCTTCAGATTGGCTCATCTCTGATATTGCGACTAATTAGGGAGTGAGCCAGCTGATAGATCTATCTCTCCTTATCTCCACAAATCTGCCTTTCAATCAATCAATCAATCAATAAAATTTTTAAAAGGGACCAGATTCAGTTATCAGATCTTGATTGAGCACTTGTTATGTGTCAGGCACTGTAAAGGGCACTTGAAAGAAAAAATCAGTAAACAGGGGCCTAGGGAAGTAGCCTAGTGGCTAAAGTCCTTGCCTTGCATACACCGGGAGCCCTTAAGGGTGCCAGTTTGTATCCTGGCTGTTCCACTTTCCATCCAGCTCCCTGCTTATGGCCTGGGAAAACAGTAGAGGGTGGCCTAAAGCCTTGGGACCCCCTGTGGGAGACCCAGAAGAAGCTCCTGGCTTCTGGCTTCAGATTGGCTCAGCTCCGGCCATTGTAGCCACTTGGGAAAGTGTATCAGCAGATGGAAGATCTTCCTCTCTGTCTCTCCTTTTCTCTGTAAATCTAACTTTCCGATAAAAATAAAATAAATCCTTAAAAAATAACCAATAAACAGTAACTACTTTCATCTACTAGTTCTTCAAACTAACATTTGCTAAAGAACAAATCAGAAAGAGTGGAAAAAGTACAGATAGGGCCTGGCAGTGTGGCCTAGCGGCTAAAGCCCTCTCCTTGAACGCTCCAGGATCCCATATGGGCGCCGGTTCTAATCCTGGCTGCTCCACTTCCCATCCAGCTCACTGCTTGTGGCCTGGGAAAGCAGTGGAGGACAGCCCAAATCCTTGGTACCCTGCACCTGTATGTGTGGGAGACCCAGAGGAGGTTCCTGCCTCCTGGCTTTGGATCGGCATAGCATCAGCTGTTGCGCTCACTTAGGGAGTGAATCATCGGTCGGAAGATCTTCCTCTCTGTCTCTCCTCCTCTCTGTATATCTGACTTTCCAATAAATAAATAAATCTTTTTTTTTTTTTAAAAGAAAAAGTACAGATAATTGTAGATTTGTATGATATTTTACAAGAAGACAGCTACTTCACTGGGTAATAATAGTAAGGGAATATAGTTTGGAGATCATTCTGGAAGCATGAAGCATTTGTTTATTCCTGTAGTGTTAGATTCCTTGAGATGTTAAATAGAAGTATTATGTCTTAAGACACCTACTTTGTCCACCTGGGGGAGATAGAACACCATTTGTGAATTTACTATCGCATGTTTTGTCTTATAGGACTGATCTAAACCAGGATGAAGCTCTTCAGGATCATTTGCTGTTTAAGAAGACTGTTCTGCCAGTCTGGAAAATGATTGCTAGTCACAGGTAAGTCTCCAAGATGGTAAAAGAATGTTCAGAACTGAAGCAGGGTCTGGCAGTCTGATGTTGCAAGCACCTGTGGTGCCAGTATCCCATATAGGCATTGATTCGAGTCCCTCCTGCTCTGCTTCCAATGCAGCTGTCTGCTAATGCACCTGGGAAAGCAGTGAGTGGCGGCCCAAAGCCTTGGTCCCCTGCAGCCACGTGGGAGATCTGAAAGAAGCACCTGGTTCCTGGTGTTAGAAAGGCCCAGCTCTGGCTGATGTGGCCATTGTGAAGTGAACCAGTATATGGAAGATCCCTATTTCTGTGTCACTCTCTCTGTAACTCTGCCTTTCAAATAAATAAGCAAATATTTTTAAAAGAACTAAAACAGTATTACAGATCAGAGTATAAACATAAGAGGAATATATTTATCTGAAACACAAGCCTGTTAAGGGGCAGATCCTGGATCTGAGCCTGTCTTATTCATAAGTGTATACTTCCACAAGTCTATAGTGCTTAATGCTAAATGTGGCTCACTTAACAGCATGCTTAAAGTGGGTTGAGCTGGCAATGCGTACATCTCATATCAGAATGCCACTTTGAGTCCTGGCTACTCTGATTCTGATGCAGCCTCGTGTTAACACACCTAAGATGACAGCAAAATATGGGTTGGTTGGTTTTTGCCCACTTCCACCCATGTGAGAGACCTAGAGTTCTTGGCTTCTGTACGCATCCTGTCCCAGACCTGGCAGCTGTTATGGCTATTTGGGGCATGAAGTAGCAGATGCAATTATGTTTATCTTTCTTCTGTCTGTTTCTCTCTTTGTCAGTATTTCAAATTTAAAAAAAAAAAAAAACACATCTTAAAAAACATGGTTGTATTGTTTAAATTGATTCTAGAAATTAGTTCTTATTACATGGTAACGTTTATATTTTGTTATACCACCTTTCTGTATGGAGATTTCTGTTTTTCTACAGAAAATGCAGGACCTTTGGATAAATTTCTGAACCCTAAATCAGTATAATAATAAATATTTTGTAGATTTTTTTCAGTTCTTCTAATGTGGCTAGAAGTTAGTAGATTTCTTGCTAATGGGGATCACAGTAGGCATTCCCTTAAGAGAAGTCTTACATGAACTAAGTTACATTCTGCAGTTTTAAGCGGTTTTGTTCTTTTCTCATTTGCAGTGATTTTTCAGGGTTTCTTTATTCTCTCTGGGTTTGTCCCTTAACAGATTCAGCAGTCCATTTCTGAAGCCTGTATCAGAAAGGCAGGCCCCAGGGTACAAGGATGTGGTGAAAAGGTCAGTAGAAAAGTGGTTTAAGAAAAAGGTTGTTTACTTTTAGATCTGATTTTCACTTCAATTTTCCTGTCTATTGAATTATTATTATATATATATTATATATTATATATATGTATGTATTTAAATTTTACAACCAAAGAAACTTAAAAGTTGTAGTGACTTCAGTATCTTAATTTGGGAAGGAATGCAAGGAACAATAGGATTCATTAGGGAAAAATGACTTATTTGTGGTATTGAGTACTTTTGATTCTTATATTGATAGTTTTGACACTGTTCTTTGGCATTCCTTTTTCTTTTAAAAGAAATTGTATGCTCATTCAGGCAGCTATGGATGTGCCAAATGAAAGTTAGCAAACGCTGGTTGATTATAGTATTTTGTAGCATAGTTTCTCTAAAATTCTGTCAGAAATGCGGTCAGTGTGAAAATTAGCAAGGAGCTTTCAAGACTGTCTTAATCCACTTGTGCTGCTAAACCAAAATGCCACAGATTGGGCAATTTACTAATGATAGACATTTATCTCTCTAACCTACCATGATTAAATCAAGAGGACATAGTAGACATCTGAAACAAATACATAACAAAGCGATGAAATTAAAGCAACAATGAAAAGTCTTCCATCAAAGTCCAAGATCTGATCACTCTATTACAGAATCCTACAAAACATCAAAGAAGAAATAACTCTAGCACTCTTCAGACTGTCCCAAAACATTGAGCAGAACGGAACTCTGCCAAACTCCTTTTAGAAGGCCAGCATTACTTTGATATCAAAACTACAGACCTGTTGGGGGCACTGACCATTTCCTGCCCTGTGATTGGCCCTTTGCCCTGATTGGTGTGCCTTGGTTCTCTTTAAGTTGATTGGTCAAGTTTGACAGTTAAGCGGGGGGCTTGGCGGGGGAGGGGCTGGAGCATAACGGTGGGTGATAACGGTCACAACGGAGTTAACGGACGGAACGGAAGATCAGAATAAAAAGCGCCTTGGAGACTCTCTCAGGTGTCGGGTGATTTCTTCCGCGGGACGGGAGGACCCCCGATACAGACCTATATCCCTAATGAATGTAGATGCAAGGATTCTCAATACATTACTAGCAAATCCAACCCAAAACCACATGAAAGTAATAAATGTGTTATGAATTTTTCAGATTTATTCCAGAAATGCAAAAGTAGATTAACATTCATCAGTTGATAAGCGGCATAAGTTATATGATTATACCAATAGAAGGGGAAAAAAATCTCGTATGGTCATCTCAATAGGTTCAGAGAAGGCATTTGAAAAGATTCAACACTGCCTGGGCCCAGCATGATGGCTCAATGGCTAAATCCCAAATGGCTGTAATGGCTGGAGCTGCTGATCGGAAGCCAGAAGCCCATGTGAGGCCAGAATCCAAGAACTTCTTCCAGGTCTCTCACATGGGTGCAGGAGCCCAAGGACTTCGACCATCTTCATTGCTGCCCTTCCAGGCCACAATCAGCAAGCTGGATGGGAAAGTGGAGCAGCCAGGATATGAACCAGCACCCATATGAGATGCCACACTTGGAGGTGGAGGATTAGCCAGTTGAGCCACTGCACCAGCCACACTATTATTTTCATTAGGAACCAGATAGTTCTCCAAAAGAGTTTGACAGTTCACATTAATGTTTCTGGTTTCTCTTGGCCTTTTTCAGACCCATGGACTTAACTAGTGTGAAAAGAAATCTGTCTAAGGGACGAATTCGCACCTTGGCTCAGTTCCAGCGGGACCTGATGCTGATGTTCCAGAACGCTGTGATGTACAATGACTCTGATCATCACGTGTATCACATGGCTGTGGAAATGCAGCGCGAAGTACTGGAACAGATTCAGGTACCGTATGGACAGTTCTGCCGGAAAGGGGTAGAATAGTCTCTGGAATCTGGTTTTGGAAAGTCTGTCAATAACTGTGACGGTCCCAGAGATGATATTTAGAGATGATTCAACAGTCTCACCACACAAGCGTTGTGTCTGGTGGTTTGGAAAACCCTGAGCCTCCGTAGGTTCTATTTTAACTAATTATGAAGTGTCACAATCGACTGTGAGAAGCAGGAATAAAGAGAAATGTGGACAGGTGGGTAATAGGAGCGCCTGCTTCTAGATTTTCAAGTCAGCTTCAAAGAAACATTTACGAGTTTCTTTTCTTGGAAGTATTATACCAAAGGAAAAAAAAAGTGTAGTTGAGTCTATTTACTGAATAAGGGAAAATGACTTTAAATCCTCTAGCTTTCGTTTTCATAGCTCGTTGTCTGTGCCTTGACCCCTGCAGGTGCTGAATATTTGGTTAGACCAAAGGAGAGACTTGAGCAGTCTGGAATGAAAACCTACCAATCCAGTGGATGATGGAAACCTGTTTAGTTGACTTGGAGCTGCTACTCTGCCCTGTTCTCCAGTTTAAACCTCTCGAAACTCTGACCCTGAGAAAACGCCAGTACTTTGTTTTACCACTTTTATGTTACTCTTTCTAGTCAAAGTAATACATTGATTCACAACCAGGGAGCAGTGGTACCTGTGGATAGACTATTAAAATAAAGGGAGAAGAGCTGGGATTTGGATTGATGTCATGCATGTTACCCATTTCTTTGTCCATAGACTTAGCTTAGAGGCATTTTATTACTTCTTTAAAAATAAATGTCACAAACCGAAGATTGCTTTTTACTTATTAAAGACGTTGAGAACAGAGGAAACAACAGCATCTGCGGAAACCAGGAAGGTACCTGACATGGGTCCTACATTGTGAGGGAAACATGAGAACTATCAAGAGCTGTAAGATTCACAAGCATATTTAAAAAGCCTGTGGCTACAACCGTGAGCGGTGACACAGCCTTGCTGGGATTGGCCCTCAGCGGCCACTGTCCTCAGGCTTTGGCTTTCGGTCTCCTAGCAACGACTTTCAGTCCCGCTGGGAACAACAGCAGGTGGCGAGGTGAGTTCTCCGAGGTGAAGACCCAGGATTTTTGTCTTCAGCCCGTAGAGTTACAAAGGACCAGGAGACCCTGCTTTCCAATTGGAGCTGCACACACACACAGAGGCTCCTGCGGGGCCCGGTGTCTGTACTAATTAAAGCAGCTTAAGGTGCTGAAGGTGGTCGCTCCCCTGCCGCTGGGGCGCTGCCTGTTACTGCCAGCCAACCGTGCTCCTGGCTGCTGCGGGCCTTATTGTCAGTCTGATGGAGTGAGTTCCTGGGTCCTCCCGCTGCTGAATGCTCGTTAGCGGTACTAAACATTGTGTTGAGATGCTTATGGAAAAACAGGGCAGTTTCTACCTTTGTAACTTAAAGAACATTCTAGTTTTTAATCGCAGCTTTGTTTGGTTTGGGGGATAGAGGTATACATGTGTTGCAGCTGATATCTGAGACAAGCCCTTTAACTTTACACCAAAAAGCCAGAATGGAGAGATCAATGTCGCCACCTCAGATATACATAGAAAAAACTTTGGCCATTATCAAACCCGATGTTGTTGACAAAGAGGAGGAGATACAGGATATTATTCTCAGATCTGGATTCACCATTGTTCAGGTAACTTCTGGGTATGATCTGGGCTTTATTTCTCGTTCCTTTTTTTCTTTTTTAAGATTTATTTTCATTGGAAAGGCAGATATACAGAGAGAAGGCAAGATAGAGAGGAGGCTCTTCTGTCCAATGATTCACTCCCCAAGCGGCCGTAATGGCTGGAACCAAGCTGATCCGAAGCCAGGAGCCAGGAGCCCCTTCCGGGTCTCCCAAATGGGTGCAGGGTCCCAAGGCTTTAGGCCATCCTCCACTGCTTTCCCAGGCCACAAGCAGGGAGATGGATGGGAAGCAGGGCTGCCAAGATTAGAACTGGCACCCATATGGGATCCTGGCTTGTGACTTTAGTCACTAGGCCACTGCACTGGGATCTGCTTTTTTATTTTTATAATGCTTGTGCAAATGTGTCCATCCGTTTAAATCCTTAGGTATTTGGCATAAAATTTAAATTCCTCTAAACATAAAAGCTGTACATAACAAATTTTTTTTTTACCTTTAAAAAAAAATGTTAAATGAAAAACAAAATGGCCTGTTTATTCACCTGTCCTTTTGCACCCCATGCAGAATCTGTCCTTTGAACTGTGTGCTCATATGATACTGTAGTTGGTAGTCCCTTGGACATGAGAGTCTGTCCTATCATCCAGGGAAAACGTTTGTGAAAAAGTCTTTTCAGTAGGTGGCAGCCTTTCCCCTTGCACAAACCTAGCTTCCTTTCCTTTAAAAAGTTCTTGCCTTGCCTTCTTGTTCTTGTGGTGCTGGGATCCCATATGGGCACCAGTTCTAATCCCAGCAGCCCCACTTCCCATTTAGCTCCCTGCCTCTGGCCTGGGAAAGCAGTTGAGGACGGCCCAAAGCCTTGGGATCCTGCACCAGTGTTGGAGACCTGGAGGAAGTTCCTGGCTTTGGATCAGCACAGCACCAGCCATTGTGGACACTTGGGGAGTGAATCATCAGATAGAAGATCTTCCTCTCTTGTCTTTCCTCCTCTCTGTATATCTGACTTGGCAATAAAAATTTTAAAAATAAAATAAAAAAAAATGACAGAGAAACACAAATGGAGATCTTCCATCTGCTAGTTTATTACTTAAAAGGCTGCAGCAACCCTGATTGGACCAGGCCCAAAGTAAGAACCAGAAACTTCATCTGAGTGTTCACATGAGTGACAGGTAACCAAGCCTTGGCCTGTCATCTTCAACCTTCCTGGGCACACTAGAAGGAAGCAAGGTCAGAAGTGAAGCATCCGAAACCGGAACCGGCACACTCGCATACACTGTAGAGAACAGGAGAGATCATGCTGGACGCAAGTGTGGGGTTGCAATGAGGAATCTTTATTGGCTAATAAGCTTGGTGACAGAGCTCCAGCCACACTCAGGAGCCACTGTACTGCCTGGCTGAGTCAGAGGCTTTTGAGCTCTCTGGAACCCAAAGCGCTTTAGCTGAACTAACTGCCCTCCAACTGCCATCCTTCCCACCGGTGGACGTGGCCCCTCACATTCCAAAAGGCCCAACTGCCGACTTGCCCAGCTATATCATTCAGAGCAGTTCATGCAGAAGGACACGGAAAGAGCAAGGTGCATGGAGCTGCTGGAGCCCAAGTCCCCATGCAGAAGCACTCAGCTATCTTAGCAGGCCTGTCCAGTGTTACAGGGTGCTGTTACCCGGCTGCATCCATCCCAGTATAGGATGCTGGTGTGCAAAGCAGTGACCTCACTGCACTACATAGTTTTCCTGACACAACTGCTTCTATTTTGTGAAACTATTTCTATTTGTGAAATTATTCAAATAAAAAAATCTTGGCCTGATCCAATCTTCCTTAAAATTTTAAAAATTTAATCTGAGGGGTCCCAGTGCGATAGCCTAGCAGCTAAAGACCTCGTCTTGAATATACTGGGATCCCATACTGGTGCCGGTTCTAATCCTGGCAGCCCTGCTTTCCATCCATCTCCCTGCTTGTGGCCTGGGAAAGCAGTTGAGGATGGCCTAAAGCCTTGGGACCCTGCACCCACATGGGAGACCTGGAAGAAGCTCTTGACTTTGGATCACCTCAGCTTCAACCATTGTGGCCACTTGGGGAGTGAAATTTCGAATGGAAGATCCTCTTCTCTGTCTTTTCTCCTCTTTGTATATCTGCCTTTTCAATAAAAATAAATCTTTAAAAAAAGTAATTTGAGGGCATGTTGTGGTAGCCTAGCTAAAGTCCTTGCCTTGCACATGCCTGGGATCCCATATGTGTGCCGGTTTATGTCCCAGCTATACCACTTCCCTTCCAGCTCCCTGCATATGGCCTAGAAAGCAGTGGAGCATGGCCCAAGGCCAAGGCCCAAGGGACCTTGCACCCACACGGGAGACCCAGAGGAGGCTGCTGGCTCCTGGCTTCGGATTGGCTAAACTCCGAATATTGGGACCATTTGGGGAGTGAGAATGGAGAATCTGTCTCTCCTCTTCCTCCTCTGTAAGTCTAACATCCCTATATAAATATAAATATTAAAAAATTTTTAATTTGAAAGCAAATGATGGAATCATTTACTCAGTATTGATTTTAAAGTGGAACCTTTGAATGAAAAAAAATATCTATTTGAAAGACAAAGTCACAGAAAGAGCAAGAGCTCTTCTATTTGCCAGTTCATTTCCCAGATGGCTGCAATGGCCAGACTGAAACCAGTAGGCAACAGCAGCTTCTGGATCTCACACATGAATACATCTTGTTGGGTCACCTTCTACACCTTTCGCAGAAATATTATCAGGATCTGGATAGGAAATGCAACAACCTGGACTGGAACTAGCACCAATATGGAAGGTGGCATTACCCCCAAAGGAATCTTAAATTGTTCTATAGAGGACTGGCATTAGAATACAGTGGATCAAGCCACGGCTTTAATGCTGATATAACATTAGTTTGAGTCTTGGCTGCTCTAGTTTTGATCCATTTCCTTGCTAATAGGCCTGTGAAAAGCAGTGGAAGATGGCCCAAGTGTTTGGAACCCTGCTATACACGCCTAGGAGACCCAGATGAAATTCCAGTCTCCTGGTTTCCATATAGCAAACCTCAGCTATTGCCCCATTTGGGGAGTGAATCGGCAGATCTGTGTCTTTCCTTCTCTCTCTTTAACTCTGCCTTTTAACTAAATAAGTAAACCTTTAAAAAAAAATTATGCAGTGGCTGGCCCAGTGGCTTAGCAGGCTAACATCTTCTGCTGGCATCCCATATGAGGGACAGTTCATGTCCCAGCTGCCCCATTTCCAATCCAGTTCCTTATTTTGGCCTGGAAAAGCAGTAGAGGATGACCCTAAGTCTTGAGACCCTGAACCCTTGTAGGAGACCCAGAGGAAGTTCCTCACTCCTGGCTTTGGATAGATTCAGCTCTGGCTATTGTGGTCATTTGGTGAATGAGCCAACAAATGAAAACTCTCTCTTTGTTTTTATATAAAAATAACTCTTACAAAAAATTTTTATTTGAAAGGCACAATTACAGAGAGAGATTTTCTATCTGCTGGCTTACTTCTCAAATGGCTGCAATGACTAGGGTTGGACTAGGCTAAAGCCAAGAGTTTCATATGGGTTCCCATGTGATTGTGGGGGCCCAAGCACTTGGGCCGTTTTCCACCACTTTTCTAGGCGCTGGAAAGGAAGTGGAGCAGTTGAGACTTAACTGGTGTCCATGCGAAATGCTAGCCTCACATGCAGCCCCTTCATGCATTACAGTACAACACTGGCCCCCAGTGTCTTATTGTCAATTCCTCTTTTGTATTTTGTATCTTTTCCCTACTGATCTGCCTTCAGGAGGAATAAAAAACCATCACTAATAATTTTTTTGTTATTTGAGAAACAGAGACTTCCAGATGCTTATAAGAGCCGTAACTGGATCAGAAGCAGAGCCAGAGCCAGGAATGTCATCTCTTCCAAGCAGGATTTTAACCATGGTTCCCAATGCCCACCCCAGACAGAAGAAGGTGAATGTGAAATATTTTAAATCCCAGTTTTATTAACTGAATAAATTCTAAGTCTTGATCATTTGGAGGGCTGTTTGCGGCATGCACATCCCATGTTGAAATACCTGGGTTCAGGTTCCAGCTCTGCTCTGAGTTCCAGTTGCCTGCTGCTGTATGCCTTGGCACAAAGCAGTGACAGCCCACGTAGTCGGAAGACCTGGATCCAGTGTCTCACTCCTGGTTTTCGCCTGGCCTAGCCACTGCTCTTAGCGGTGTTCAAAAACAAGTGAGCCACTAGACAGAAGATTTCTCCCTGCATCTCTGCTTTTCTAATAAATCAAGTAATTAAATACTATGCAAATAATTTTCAAAAATAGATACTGTGTTTCATTAGTAAAACATTCTGAAGGAGATTGTCAAAACAGTAATTAGTTTTTCAGTAGGTTAAATAATCCTTCTTACTGTATTTGTAGCAACCATTGAATTATCATGCCCCCCTTTTTTAAAAAAAAAAAAGAGCTGCTTATTTTTTTATTGCAAAGTCTGATGTACGGAGAGGAGGAGAGTCAGAAAGATCTTCTGTCTGATGATTCACTCCCCAAGTGACTGCAAAGCCAGAGCTGAGCCAATCTAAAGCCAGGAGCCACAAGCTTCTTCCAGGTCTCTCATGTGGGTACAGGGTCTCAAGGCTTTGGGACGTCCCCCACTGCTTTCCCAGGCCTCAACCAGGGAGCTGGATGGGAAGTGGAGCTGCGGGGATTAGAACCGGCACCCATATGGGATACTGGCATGTTCAAAGCTAGGACTTTAGGCTGCTAGGCTACCATGCCGGGCCCAACCCTTTCTTTATAGTAAAAAGATGAAACTCGCATATCTGATAAGACTGTTACCAATTTCAAATTGGTTAATGCTTTAATGGGGATGTTTTTAAACTATTACTTTAAATGCTGTTGTTACATTTTTCTCTTACAGAGAAGAAAACTATGTCTGAGCCCTGAACAATGTAGTAATTTTTATGTGGAGCAGTATGGGAAAATGTTTTTTCCCAATTTAACAGCTTACATGAGTTCTGGACCACTTGTTGTCATGATAATAGCTAGACATAAAGCCATCTCTTACTGGAAAGAACTTTTGGGACCAGCTAATAGCTTAATAGCTAAGGAAACACACCCAGACAGGTAATGTTTGTGAAAATGAAAAAAAAATGTGATTTTACTGTAATGATTTTGTTTTCTTTTTCCTGGATACACTGTTTTTGGGGAAGAATCTATTTTAAATTTTAGCTCTTTGGGCCCGGCACGGTGGCACAAGTGGTTAAGGTCCTCACCTTGCACGCCTGGGATCCCATATGGGCGCCGGTTCTAATCCCGGCAGCCCCGCTTCCTTTCCAGCTCCCTGCCTGTGGCCCGGGAAAGCAGTCGAGGACGGCCCAAGGCTTTGGGACCCTGCACCCATTTGGGAGACCCGGAAGAGGCTCCTGGCTTCGGACCGGCATAGCATTGACCGTTGTGCTCACTTGGGGAGTGAATCATCGGACGGAAGATCTTCCTCTCTGTCTCTCCTCTCTGTATATCCGCCTTTCCAATGAGAAAATAATAAAAATAAATCTTTTAAATTTTAGCACTTTAATTGAAACTCAGTACCAAATGCCACAGAAGGTCTCAGGAAATGTGTGATTAGCCTTATCCTGCCTTGCATTAAACTGCCACTGAAGTAGGACTTTTTTGCGGGTGAGAGGGTTGATAAGATTTTAAAATAATATTGGTAATATAGGAGTAGGAATCCATGTTTTCAGTATTTTAGATAATAGGTAACATCTGGAAATGAGGGTGTATGCATTTTTCACTTGTTATAAAATGACACTTTTTATGATTTATTTATTTTTATGGGAAAGCAGATATACAGAGATGAGAGACAGAGAGGAAGCTTTTCTGTCTGATGATTCACTTTCCATTCGGCTGCAGCAGCTGAGCTGTGCCAATCCAAAGCCAGGAGCCAGGAGTCTCTTCTGGGTCTTCCACACAGATGCAGGGTCCCAAGGCTTTGGGCCATCCTCAACTGCTTTCCCAACCACAAGCAGGGAGCTGGATGGGAAGTGGAGCTGCCGGGATTAGAACTGATGCCCATATGGGATTCCAGCACATGCAAAGCAAGGACTTTAGCTGCTAGACTACAATGCCGTACCTAAAATGACACTTCTTTTTAATTCGGAGAACTGTTTTTCCTGTAAATGTCTCCTACAGATCTAAATGTATTTGGTCCTAATATATATTTAAGCTTAAATTCAAAATAGATTGAAGTGTCTTTGTAGAATCATACATATGATGTCAAGGATTGCAAGTTGGCGGAGCACTCTCTTTTGTGTTTAGTCTAAGGGCAATTTATGGCACAGATGATCTGAGGAATGCACTTCATGGGAGTAATGACTTTGCTTCAGCAGAAAGAGAAATTCATTTCATGTTTCCTAAGGGTGAGTTACAGATGACTAATTTGTCACTTTTTGTTGTTTGCTTTTTCTTCTGTTTTGGAGGTGTAGCTGTAGAGGAATGTAAGAGTTTTTCTCTATGATAATTTTAAGTTGTAGTCACTAAAAATTCGAAGTCTCCATTAGAAAACTCAGCATTTCTCTTAGAACCAGTTGTGCCCTCTAGGGAGTATTTTGAAAAGAATTTAATGCGTTTTTCTTTCTTTTCTTTGAACTAGACATACTTAGGATTTTTTTTCCTATGTTGTAATTCTTTATAGTGTCCTTATGTTTTAGTAAAGCTTGTTACAAATGAATACAATTAGGAAATTTTGATGAATTTACCATCTTATCTAATGATTTATTATTTGGCTAACAAAGTCCTATGCAGTTTTAAGATTCCTTTTTTTAAAAAAACAAACATATGTATTTATGTATTTGAAAAGCAGAGTTATGGTACTTTTGGTAGGAGGCAGGGAGATATGGAGATGTACCATCTTCTGGTTCACTCCCCAAGCAGCCGCGGAAGCCTAGAACTGCATCTGTGCTCTCCACATGGATAGTAGCTTCCCAAACACTCGGTTTATTCTCTGCTGCCTTCCCAGGCACATTAGCAGGGAACTGGTTGGAAGTAAAACAGCAAGTGCTCAAACCAACACTTCTATTGAATGCTAGCATCATAAATAGCAACTTAACCCACTATGTTACAATGCCAGCCCCAATTAAAAATTTATTTAAAAAAATTTTTAATGTATTTTTTTGAGAGGCAGAGAGCACCTATCCAACTGGTCACTTCCCCCAAAGGGCCACGATGTCTTGTCCTGGGCCAGGCCAAAACCAGGAACTGGAAAATAAAGCCAAGTCTCCCACTTGGATGGCAAAAACCCAATTGATTGACCCAAATTGACTTCTTGGTTCTTGATTAGCAGCAAGCAGGAACTTAATCTGGGAACCCAGGGCAGACCTCTGATATGGAGCAGTCATCATAACTGCCATCCTAACTAGTAGGTCAAATACCCATCCCCTGTTCTCAGTATATTTTAATAAAGATCTTCAAAAAAAGCTGAAAACTATCTTGGAAATTTACAAGTTTTTTCTTTTCTTTTCTTTTTTGAGAAGTCATATTTATTGAATAACTGACATACAACAAGTGGAATTTCTTAACTCCAAATTTTTCAGTTTGACTATCTGATGTTATATATTTTTAAGATTTTTTTAAATTGGAAAGTCAGATTTACAAAGAGAAGGACAGACAGAGAGAAAGATCTTCCATTTGCTGGTTCACTCCCAACTGGCCACAGCAGCCAGATCTGAGCTAATCTGGAATCAGGAGCCAGGAGATGCTTCCAGGTCTCATATGTGGGTGCAGTGTCCCAAAGCTTTAGGCCATCTTTCACTGCTTTCCTAGCCCACAAGCAGAAATCTAGATAGAAAGTAGAGCAACCAAGACACAAACCAGCACCCATATGGGATTCTGACACATGCAAGGCAAGGACTTTAGCCACTAGGCTACTGTGCTGGGTCCTGATGTTACTTTTTAGCACCAGTAGGCTTGGAAACATTCTGATGCTAACTTGTCAATGGATGATATTTCATCTGCTGCTTCACTTCCCTTCCAGCTTCCTGCTTGTGGCTTGGGAAGGCAGTAGAGGATTGACCAAAGTTTTGGAACCCAGGACCTGTGTAGGGGACCCGGAAGAGGCTCCTGGCTCCAGATAGGTTTAGTTCTTACCATTTTGGCCATTTTGGAAGTGAACCAGCAGATGAAAGGTCTTGGAATTTCCAAAATTGGAAATGCAAATGTACAGAGAGAAGGAGAGACAGAAAGATTTTTTTTTCTTTTAATTTCTTTCTCATTTGCTTGGAAGGCAGAGTGATAAATAGAAAGAGCTCTTCCACCCATTAGTTCACTCCTTAAATCCCTGCAACAATTAGGGCTGAACAAACCCAGTCCAGCAGCCTGGAATTCCATTTGCGTGTAACAGCAACACAGGTGCAGTTTAGCCAACTGCATCACATCCCTGGTCCCTCTCGACAAAACTTGTTTAAAAAGTAGAAAAAATAGACCTCCTTTCCCAATGGAGGTTTAAAAAATAGCCTTTAGTGGCGGGCCTTTGGGCTAATGCTTTAAACACCAACATCTCACATCAGAGTGCTTGGGTTTGAGTCCTGGCTCTGCTCCTGTTCCTGCTAATGTGCACCAGCAAGCACAGGGCCCAGCACAGTCCATTGTCCGGTCAGCTGGTAGTTGCAATTGCTGGGTTGGTTCTGTTTTCAGCCCCGCCTTCCACTGGAACCGATGGATGTTGCAGTCCAGCCTGGTTCTGCACAGTGCATACTCGGCCCACATATAAACCAGTGGGAGCTGCAGCTTGGTGAGAGCGACCCACAATAACCCCCACCAGGCCCGCCCGCTACCCTGGTTTGCCAGTATGTGTAGCAGACCAGTCCATTCTGTCCCACATCCCCCTTGGCTCTCGTACATGGCAAATGGCATTGATTATTCATGTGTTTTTAAACAAACTGTTGTGCCATGTATATAGTTCCTTTATCTTAAAAAAAAATCCTTTGGGTGTTTCTCACGACAAAGTTATTTAGAGAGATTGTTCTCAATGATCACATCCTATTAAATGATTTATGTTGGCTCTAAAGAGAATATTTCTGTGTTTGCAGTGATTATTGAGCCCATTCCAGTTGGACAAGCTGCTAAGGACTATTTAAATTTGTATGTGATACCAACTCTTCTTGAAGGACTCACGAAGCTTTGTAAACAAAAACCAGCAGATCCTTTTGTAAGAAATATTATTTCCACTTATAATGATGGCTTATCATTTTCATGTTTAAATAGTGTTTTTTGAAAAAGTAAAGGTCTTGAGAACTTCTTTAAAGTAAAAATGTATAGAAATTATTTTACACACATTTTGGCTACTTCCTATGATTATTTCCTTGCTGTGTTTTAATTCTTTTTTAAAAGATTTATTATTATTATCATTATCATTATTGGAAAGTAAGATTTACAGAGAGAAGGAGAAACACAGAGAAAGATCTTCCATCTGCTGATTCACTCCTAAAGCGGCCGCAATGGCAGTAGCTGAATCAGTCCGAAGCCAGGAGCCAGGAGCTTCCTCAGGGTCTCCCACACTGATGCAGGTCTCAAAACTTTGGCCCTTCTGCTTTCCCAGGCCACAAGCAGCGAGCTGGACGGGAAGTGGGGCTACTGGGGTATGAACCTGTATGGGATCTGGGCACATGCAAGGCAACTTTAGCCAGTAGGTTGCCACACCGGACCCTATGTTTTAATTCTTAAAAAATGTTTCTAAATATTGTGTCAGTGATTGCATTTCAATTGCTGAACATTACTTTGTGGGTAATTTAAACAATCACATTTAAGTGAATTTTATCACTTAGAATTTTATCACTTTAGACAGATTTTTAGTTTCAACATTTTTCTCATGATACCTGATTTTCAAATAAGACTTACTTATTTATTTGAAAGGCAGAATTACCAAAAATTTTCCATCTGCTGGTTCATTTGCCAAAGAGCTGAAAAAGACAGATGTGGGCCAGGCTGAATCCAGGAGGCAGGAGCTCCACCTGATCTTCCCTGTGGATGGCAGGGCCAAATATCTGGATATTTTCTGCTGCTTTCCCAGGTGCATTAGCACCTAAGTTGGAAAGGGAGCAGACAGGACTCCAGCTGGCACCCACATGTGGTGCAAGCATTGTAGGAGGTGCCTTGCCTCACTGCACCACAATGTTGTCCCCAGTATCTAAAGAGGCAATAGATGGGGCAGGAATTGTGGTGAGCTGGCGAAGTCACTGCTTGCAATTCCTTATTTCTGTATTGGAGTGCTGATTCAGTCCTAGTGGCTTCACTTCAGATCCTGCTTTCTGCTGTTGTGGCTACAATGGCTGAGGACGGAGCAGAAGGAAGCTAGCATCCCAGAATTTCATCTGGGTCTCCCACATGGGTGGCAGGGACCCAGGTTTCCTCCCTGGGCATATTAGAAGGAAGCTGGATCAGGAGCAAAGCAGCTCGGACTCAGCCTGACACACTGATAGGGGAGGGCAGCTCAACAAACTACTATCACAGTGTCAACTGAAATGGGAAAGGAGAGAATAAGATACCCCTGGTTCCATTTCTACTTCTTTCAAATGAACACTGACACTGTCTTGCTCCAAGTACATTTAACTCCAGATTCAGACATCTAACTTTTCTCAGTCTTTCTATTTGGCGTTAGTAAAATGTAAATATTTTATACCTAACTATATAGGTGGACTATTGCTATGATTAATTGCATAAATGCATATTAAATTCTGAATGAAAATGTCTCTTGAATAATAAATGCTTAAATGTTAGCTACCGGGGCAGTACCAGGGCAGGTAATTAGCCTATTGCTCTGGAACACCTGCCTGGAATGAGATTCTGCCTCTGCTTTCCATCCAGCTCCCTGCTAGTGTACCTGGCCCAAGTGTCTGGGCTAATGCAGCCAATCTGGCGTGCCTGGCTCCCAACTTCACAATCAGCCAGCAGCTCTCAATCTCTCTCCCTCTCCATCTTTTCGTTCTGTGACTGCCTTTCAGATAAATAAATTTTTTCATATATATGTGTGTGATTTTTTAAATTGGAAAGGCAGATATACAGAGAGGAGGAGAGACAGAGAGGAAGATCTTCTGTCTGATGGTTCACTCCCCAAGTGGCCACAACAGCTGGAGCTGAGCCAATCTGAAGCCAGGAGCCAGGAGTTTCTTCCAGGTCTCCTGTGTGGGTGCAGGGTCCCAGTGCTTTCGGCCATCCTTGACTGCTTTCCCAGGCCACAAGCAGGGAGCTGGGTGGAAGTGGAGCAGCCAGGATTAGAGCCGGCGCCCATATGGGATCCTTGCACGTTCGAGGTGAGGACTAACTGCTACACTATCGCGCTGGGCCCAGATAAATAAATTATTTTTAAAAAGTAAAAAATAAGTTCTGCCCATGGAGAATGCCAGTGCTGCAGACAGAGGCTTATGCCATGACACTGCTTCCTCTAGATTTTTTTTAAACATTTATTTGTTTGTATTGGAAAGTCAGATTTACAGAGAAGAGGAGAGACAGAGAGGAAGATCATGTATCTGATGAATCACTCCCCAAGTGGCTGCAACGGCCAGAACTGAGCCCAATTCTAAGCCAGGAGCCAGTAGCTTCTTCCAGGTCTCCCAGTTGGGGTGCAGGGTCCCAAAGCCTTGGGCCATCCTTGACTGGCCTTCCCAGTCCACAGGCAGTGAGCTAGATGGGAAGTGGGCTGCTGGAACACAAACTGGCACCCATATGGGATCCTGGCACAATCCAGGTGAGAATTTTAGTCACTAGGCTACCACGCTGTACCTTCTATATTTTTTAATGTTGTTTGCTCCACATAGATCTTATTTTCAAATATAATACAAAATAGATATCTAAGTTATTTTTAGGAATATTTTGCGGGTTTGCATTATTGCACATCTTGCTAAGCTGCCACCTGTGATGCCAGCATTCCATGTAAGGGCTGGTTCAAGTCCTGGCTGCTCTGCTGCCTCCCAGGATGTATTAGCAGGAAAACTGATCAAAATCTGAAAAGCTAGAACTCAGACCAACACTCTGATACGAGATATGGGCATCCCATGCAGTAGTGTGAAGAACTGCCACAATACCCACCCCTTGGTCTGTTCTTGATAATCTTGCTAAATTCCTTGCTGGAATCCCAGACCATTAGCAGGGAGCTAGATTGGAAGTAGAGCAGCCTGGACATGAATTAGCACCTGTATGAATGTCACAATGCCAGCCCCCATTTTCTTGTTCTTAAAGTGATTTTTAAAAACTGTTTCTGATTGATAGAGATATTGAAAGGAAATGCTTATTAACTTTTTTTTTTCGTAGATTTGGCTTGCTGATTGGCTGCTGAACAATAATCCCAACAAACCTAAGCTTTGTCACCGTCGTCCAAATACAGAAGCTTGTTAAAGTTCTCCAAAGACCAGATCTTGAACTGTGTCATCGTGGAAAGCTGTGCCTCTCCTTCTCCTCACACTTTGACTGAGGATTTACATATGAAATAAATTGTCATTGTGACGTATCTGGTGAAGCCTCATTTGTGACTGTAGAATTCCATACTGGAATGGCAGTTTGGATCTTTTTCTAACTCTACTTCCTGCTAACGTGCCTGGGAAAACAGTTGGAAAGTTGCCAGGTTCTCGGTCCCTGCAAACCAGGTGGGAGCCCCAGATGCAATTCTTAGCTCCTGGCTTTAGCCTGGGACAGATATAACTGTTATAGACATTTGAGGAATGAGCCAGCAGTTGGAAGATCTCTCTTTCTCTTTGTCTAATCCTTTCTGTATGTCACTCTGCCTTTCAAATAAGTAAAATAAATAGTGTTTTATTGTTGAGTTGGTGCTCATATGACATGCCAGTGCTTTAAAGCAGAGTATTAGCCTGTCGAGCTACCGTGCTGGCTGCAAGATTGATTTATTGATTGATTTTGCTTGAAAGAGAGAGGGAAACGTGCACATTTTCATTTAATGGCTCACTACTCAACGCACCAACCAGAGCTGGGCTGACCCAAAGCTGGAGGCTAAGAGCCTCTTTCAGGTCTCCCGTATGAATGACAGGTCCAAGCACTTGCACCATCTTCTGCTGCTTTTTTTTTTTAAGTTCACTGATTTTTTAAAAAATTATTTTTATTTAGGAAGACAATAACAGAGAGAAGAAGAGACAAAGTTTTTCTATCCACTGGTTCACTCTCCAAATGGGCTCCACGACCATAGCTCAGGTGCAAAACCAGGAGCTTTTAGGTCTGCCACACAGGTGCAGGGTCCCAAGGCTTTGCAACATTCTCAACTGCTTTCCCAGGCCACAAACAGGGAGCAGGAAGGAAAATGGAACAGGTGGGACATGAACCAATGCCCATATGGTACCCTGGTGCATGGGATTTAACCAGTAGTCTGTCATGCCAGGCCCCATTTCCTGCTTTGTTCCCAGGCACATTAGCAGGGAACTAGATGGGAAGTGGAGTGGCAGGGTCTCAAAACAGTGCCCATGTGGGATGCTGGCACCACAGCAGAGGGCTAGCTTGCTATGCTTCTGTGCCAGCCCCAACTTCTCAGTGTTTCTTAAGTTTTTGGTTACATTTTCCTGCTAATATATATGGAGTTTGCTCAAAGCATCAATAAAATTGGGCAGAAAAACAAAAATCTTGAGGACAAAAAATTAGTATTTATTTTGAGCAATAGCCAAAAAGATTTAGGCAAAAGCACATTTCTACAGTGAGTTTCCAGTATGATAGCTTCATTTCCATTCGCAGTGCCCTTTCATCTAGAAAAAAAAAGAAATATCTTAATAAAGAGAAAAACTTCATGCTGGAAGTCAGTTCTGTTACTGAAATCTGTCATTTGTTGTTGTTAATTATTTATCTGAAAGGCAGAGTGGCAGAGAGAAAGAGATCTTCTATCTGCTGGTTCACTTCCCAGATGCCCTCAGTGGTCAGAACTGGAGCCAGAAGCTCAGTCTGGGTCTCCCGTGTGACGGACAAGGCCGAAGCACTTGGGTCATCACCCTTCGATCGCCTCCCTCACTATCAAGAAGGTAGCTGGGATATGTGAAGTTGCTGGGATTCAAACTGGCATGCCAAATTGGGGTGTGGGCGTCTCACACAGGAGCTTAACCTGTGCTGTGAAGCTTGCCCCTGAGATACATTTTTGAGAGAGAGAAGTGTCATGCGGATTTGTTTGATCTGAAAATGTCATACAAGTATTTGAGATGAGAAATACATTCTCTCCTCCATTGTAGTTAACTATAAAAAAAAATATTTATATTAAGCATTTTTTTTTTGGTCCAGTTCTCAGTTTGATATTTCTGTGACACTAGTTGCTTTTCTTGGGCTCTGTTTTCATTATTTGTCTCACTGGTAACATTCCCTATATTAACTTTAAGATCCACAATTCCTTTCCAGATGTTAATTAAATCAGAAACTCACAGGCTGATGAGAGCTTCTCACTTGTTTCCCCCCACCCCCCAAAGATTTATGTCAATTTGAGACAGCTTTCTCCTACCTCACCAAAAGATGTGACTGAAGAAAAAGATTGCTGTGCAGCAGTCCTGCATTAGTTGCTCTGTTAATTTAAGTAGAGTCCATTGAAAAGGCAAGATGATTGAATAAAGTGATGCTTCTTCCTTTTGTACTTCAGAGTGACCGAAGGAAGCTCCCTGCTAACCCCCATCTCTCCTCCCCCCAACCCATACAGGTCCTCAGTTGATTACACCGTGGTGATTGATGCCTTTTGTTCCCAAACCAAACTGCTTTTATAGCCCACCCCCTGCCAGCACTTCCCACCAGCTCCAAGGGGAGTCCCTTCCTCAGGCTGCCTGGGGAGCAGTGGCTCTGTGATGGCAGGCGGCAGAGGGTAGGTGGAGAAAGCAGCTTGCAGACCAACAGCACATTGCCAGAACCAATAAAAATAAGTAAATCGTTAAAAATTAATTTATTTGGACAGCAGACAGGCAGAGAGGAAATATATAGAGATCTTTGATCTGGTTCACTTTCCAGATGCCTGCAAAAACCATGGGTGGGCCAGGCTGATGGCAGAAATTCCATCTAGGTTTCCTGTGTGAGTGGCAAGGACCCAAGGACTTGGGCCATCACCTGCTGCCTCCCAGGTGTCCACTAGCAGAACACTGAATCAGAGGCACTCATCCTAGTTAACCACTCTGCCAAATGCCCATTTCTACATATTTTAAATTTGTCAAAGTTAAAAAGTAATTGATTCTATTTTCAAAAGAGAAAAAAAAATGTCAAATTTGTTAGTCTGTAATTCAGGGGTATCTCAGACTGGTCACCGTATATCTGTTTGCTTTTGCTTTTCTTTTTTGATATTATTTGTGATTCCTTTTTTTTTTTTTTTTTAAGCAGAGTTATCGGGAGAAGGAGAGATCTACCATGCATGGTTTCACTCCCCAGATGTCTGCAGCAGCTGAACCTGGGCCGCTCTGAAGCCAGGAGCCTGGAGTTTCTTCTGGGTCTCCCACATGGGTGCAGGGGCCAAGCACTTGGGATATCTTGAACTGCTTTCCCAGTCACATCTACCGTGGAGCTGAATGAAGAGTTGGCACAGTCAGGACCGAACCCCACACTATTTGGGATGCTGGAGTATAGTTGGCAGCTTAACTTGCTACACTACAGTGCTGCCCCCTACTGTTTGTCTTCCCAAACTTGCCTGCCAGGATACACTTTCATTGACTCAATCCCAGATACTGGGGTCTGTTTGTCCACCCTGTTCTTTTCTGTCTGTTTGCTAAAGCCAGTCTCTCCATTTGCTCCCAAGCCTTCACATCAGAAAATCTGGAAGGTTTGTCCTACTTTTTTCTGCTTACGCGACTTGTAGCCTAAGAGAAAAATTAGCTGTGATTTTGCTCTAAAACATACTTGTATCCTGCCTGCGAATCACTCAGACTTAACTTCTGACTTGTTGGAAAGTTAATAATGTAATATTCCCTGACATGATGTTCTAGGAAGTCCAATGTGAAATAATTTAACGTTTGACCTTTGGAAGCAGCAAAAGCAGTTTTTGTCATAACTCCATGCCGTCCCTGCCTTGAGACTTCACGTTGCTGAAGGCTGTTTTCCTGATGTGCGAGGAGGAGATGACCGGGGTCAGCGTGAGTGAAGGGGATGGTACAGGTGAACGTCTCTGCCGGAGCCTGCTGACGCACAGTGAGCCCTCAAAAGGTAGTGATTATTTACCTCTATCACTTTGATTTATGTATGAATTATATATTCCCATCATTAATGAAAGAATCATTATCTATTATTGCCTGTCACATGCTGAACACTGAACACATGTTTTCTCTGTTACTCTCACAAACTTGACGTTAAAGTGATTTGATCTGGATGCTTTATGTATGAGTTAACAGGACCAAGATCTTTTACTTATTTGAAAGGCAGGGTTGGAGAGAAAGAGGGAGAGACAGAGATTTTCCATCTGCTGTTTCATTCCTAATGCGGTTGCAATTGCCAGGTCTGATCCAGATCAAAATTGGGAACCAGAACCCCGATCCTGGTCTCCCACTTGGATGGCCTGGGCTCAAGCATTCTCACCACCTTGTACTGCCTGCTCAGGCACACCAGTAGGAAATCATATTGGAAACAAAGTGTAGCCGAGATGTGAGCTGGCACTTTGAATTAGGGCGCTGGTATCACCAGCGGTGGAGTGTCTGTTATGGAGCATTAAGCTACGATGCTCTTCCCCTACAGAACTCGATTATATTTGAAGTTTTTCCACTATTTTTAGGAGCTTCTTCTGGGTCTCACACACATGGGTTCAATGTGTGATCCCAAGCCTTTGGACCATCCCTGCTGCTTTCCCAGGAAAGCTTATACTCTCATAAGAGAGAGTTGGATGGGAAGTGGAGCAGCGGGAACAGAAACTGATATCCATATGGGATACCAGCACTTGCAGGTGGAGAATTAGCCAGTTGTGCTATCGTGCCAGCCCCTGCCAATTGATTTTTTTTTAAGATTTATTTTTATTGCAAAGTCAGATACACAGAGTAGGAGAGACAGAGAAAAAGAGCTTCTGTCTGCTGATTCACTCCCCAAATGGCTGCAAGGCCAGAGCTGAGCCAAAGCCAGGAGCCAGGAGCCTCTTCCAGGTCTCCCACGCAGGTGCAGGGTCCCAAGGCTTGGGGCTGTCTTCCACTGTTTTCCCAGGCCACAATTAGAGAGCTTGATGGGAAGTGGGGCTGCCAGGATTGGAATCAGTGCCCATATGGGATCTTGGTACATGCAAGGCGAGGACTTAAGCCACTAAGCTACTGTGCTGGGCCCCTGCCAATTGATTTTTTTTTTTTTAAGATTTATTTTTATTATTTTTTTATTGGAAAGGCGGATATACAGAGAAGAGAGACAGAGAGGAAGATCTTCCGTCCAATGATTCACTCCCCAAGTGAGCACAACGGCCCAATGCTATGCCAATCCGAAGCCAGGAGCCTCTTCCGGGTCTCCCACGCGGGTGCAGGGTCCCAAAGCTTTGGGCCGTCCTTGACTGCTTTCCTGGGCCACAGGCAGGGAGCTGGG